TTCAGCGCGAAATTTTTAATTCAAATCTGGTCACCACAACCCTGAACAAAAATCCATTTTAGTGAATAAAGAAAGTCTTTCTTCTTTCTTTCTTTCTTCTTTGTTTTTTCCTTGTACAATAATAAATTCCGGGTCTTTGGGGTCGGAAAATAAGCACTGACGAGCGTGGATCTTCGATCCCCTAATAGGATCATAGATAGCTGAGGAGATCTTAGAACTGTGTGCTAATTTGACATTTGTGGTAGAAAGCTGTAATACTGCAACTTTTACAACTTTTATTACCATAGCCAACTTATTATCATTGTTTAAGGGTAAGGGATTACTATTATCTAAATTTCTATTAATCTACTTTCGAATAGACTGCGGTCATTCTCTTTCGCCACCTTTTTAGTAATCTGTTATCCTGTGACGGAGCCGAACATCGAGGCTCGCCGGCTTGTGGGTTTTAGGATTTTTTATGCGAATTAATTAATATTAATAAATAAATTAATTATTGGAGACGTTTTTTTATGAAAATTTATTATATAAATTCATGAAGTTCATAAAGTGCCACTTTTGTGGACTGAAATGTCAAAATTATTTTTTCGCTGGGCAATTAAAAAAAATCATTTTCATCTCCTGGTCCAGTTAATGTTAAAAGGCAGTTTTTATTTTTACTTGTTTAACCGAGTTTGAAATAAATAATCCAACAAATTTATTTTGTAAACAATCCAACTCAGAAATTAATTACGTAATTCATACTGGATGTGCAAATTAATGAATGCATATTTATTAATTTACTTTCATCAAGAATGATCAAGATAATAGCCAATGTTTTATTATTGTTAATAATTTAATTAAAAATCTTTCATAAACAAATGAAGTTAATAAAACAATCGTTTTTATGAGTGACAAAGAAACTTTCCTTCCTCTTGTTCTTTCTTTGTCTGTGCGTTGTTATAAACCTTGTCTTCCGAGTCGGAAAATAAGCGCTGACGAGCGTGAATCTTCGATCTCCTAATAGGATCACAGATAGTTGAGGAGGTCTCAAGTTCTAATAGTAACTTCTGTTTTCTGTCTCTGGGGCTGTCACAAATTTAAATTTCAACTGTAGTTCATCTTTAAAAGGCATGCAAATATCCACTCAACCCAAAATCACATTTCACAGTTAATCCGACAATTTTCAAACGTCTTAAACTATTTTCAATCAATGAATTTTGCAAAAAAATAAACCGTTTTTCTTTCATTTGTTTTAACATGTAATCTTAGATGTCTTAACAAATAAACTATAGTAATCTAGTCTCGAATAGATGGCGTTGCAACAATTAGTCGGGTGTCATCTCTCACCACCTCCTCCATGACCTGCTATCCTGCTCGACAGCCGAATATCGAGGCTCGCCGTCTTGGTATTTTTAAATTAACCCTAAAGAAGCGAATGAAACAGTTGCGAGAAAACGGTGAAGGTGGATTCTATGATTTTTTGCCTCCAAAATAATAAAATTTTGATTAAAGTAAAAATCGACTTTTTAATGGAGGGTTATTACGTAATAAAACAGGTCAAAGTAACTATGATACATCGCAGAAATGTCGTCCTCTCAAGTAAAAGCAGTTGCTGTTCTATTATTATTATTAGGATTTATTAATTCATTAAATCCTAATAATAATTTCCTTCATGAATGAAAAACACTGAGCAGCAAGGTTAATTTATTTTGGCGAATAAAGAAGGCCTTTTTGTCTTCTTGAGATAGATCGCAAATCATTTCAGCTGGATTGTTGGTTGCCTACATTTCAAACATCAACTCCCCATTAATAGTTTATTCTCATCCATTATTCATTACATTGTTTTTTGTATTTCGGGACACGTGGACATAAAAAGAAGAAAAAAAAAATGTCTTCTACGTCAACAGTTTCGCAATTAATTTACCGCTTTTTCAAGACGTTCAACTATACGAAACCACAGTAGATCAGTAACGAAACTTCAGCAATATTTGCGGAACGGGTGTGACCTTGGGAGCCCGTTCCCGGGAAACACGAAGATTCAAATATTTCGTAGCATTCGTATGTGATTCATATAATACTAATAATTGTACACAAAAATAAAAATGGTTGGCATGTACTAGTGACATTGGTCATTTTTTTACTTTCCTATAAATTATTAATATATTCAAGCAAAACATTTTTATTCAATTTTGACGTTTTAAACTGCGTTTATTAAAACCTTAACAAGTCTGACAAATAAGTTGTTATCCACAAGTGAATTGCAAAATTTTTAATTCACTCTTAATATTTTTAAATCACTCACAAAAAAATAAAAAACAACTTCAGGAACATAAACATTTTGCTTATTATTTTTAATAGTTTTCACAGAATACAATTTATTTACAATTTTCACTAAAAGTTTGCTGCAACTAAATCAGTATTGTTTGACATATTTCTTTGGCTCTGTGAGGCGTCAATTTGGGAATTGTATAAATCCCACATCAATAGAATTCCAAAGAACGTTTCGGAAACTATTTACTACAGATTATTTCGATACAAGTGCAAGAACCAACTGTGAAACACTATTTTATTTGAAATGAAAAATTTGCTAAGGTGTTCTTTTAAATAAACTTCCACAACACATCTTCCCTGTATTCCGGTCTCTTCAACAATCATTAAGTGATGTGAGTTACCGGAAACTCACCTTGAAAGAACACAACTGTTTATGGTATGTTTGTGGATATTCATTAATACGAAAATTCTTACACCACCACTTCTGCGAAGTTTGTGAGAACTTTGCACATTCTTACGAAGTGGTACATCCTGTTTTAATTCTGTGACCTTTTAAAGTTTCAATGAAGATGTGATTTTTGGCGATTTAATGATGCCACCTGAACATTTTGCAGTTTATACTCCGGTAGTGGGTAATACATTTTGTGAGTTTTTCCCAATTTATGCACTGTATTCGTTAACTGGTTTGCGGCTAAAAAACGAACCATACAAAAATACCATTCCACCACCCCTGCAAAGACTTTCCTCTTGATTACCCCGTCTCAGTTTTTATTAGAGTTAGAATTTTTTACACACTAAAATTTAAAAATAAATCTTGGACCGCTCAAACACGCACACATCGAAAATTAAACTATTTCGTTTAACCTGCAGTTTGTTGACCTCTTTAGCCTGGAATTTTCTAGTATTTTTTACATGTATCGTAAGACTACGTCGTAAGTATCTATTACTTTGTTACAATAAATTTTACGTTTGTTTTTAACCCCATAACCCAACATCCCGTATGATTCCGTAAATAATATGACATTTCTTGTTGACAAAACCAGACAAAACGTTCACCGAAAACCTTAAAATGAAAAAGAAACTATGTTCTTCAAGGTCGGAGCACCTTTAGTGACGCCAGTGACCTCTTTATGTCGTTCCGTAAGCTCCCCATGTATTTCTTATGGAGTCAGCTGAGACTTTCATAGCCCTGACGAAACATTCTTGAGGCGAACCATTTGCGTCATGACATTTTTAAGTAAAGACGAAAATGTCATGACATTTTTAAGTAAAGACTTTTTTTTATGTCCACGTGTTCCGAAATACAAAAAACAATCAAAACCCATTTCTGTATGTATTTCCTTCTTTAATATTTTTATTTTTATCGTCACTATTCATTGTTCAGTAACTTAGAATTTTACTTTCTACGGATATAATTATAATCTAATTAACTAATTACAAACTAATGCACTACGACGTCCTTGATTTTGATAAACAAATTTATGAACAAATCTTCTCATATATACAAAAATGAATGTTTATTTGTTCCGTACGCGTTCATAACTCAGTTTCTTGATTGCGATGAACCTTTTCTGCGCGTGAGTGCGCACTGCGCATGCGCGGTAGAGTTGAATTAAAACAAATGAAAACAGTGACAATTCGATTGCCGGTTGACGTTAGATAATTACATAATAGATAGCACGATATCACACGCATTAGCAGCTAGTTATATATAACTAAATGGACATTTTTATAATAAGTAAACATTAAATTATTCCGTGCGATTTTTAAATTTCTGCTGTAGTTGGCCATGACGCGTACGCCAGCAGTGCAACTGAAGCAGCTGAAGCAAGCGTCATGGCCAACTAGAACAGATTTAAAAAATCACCCGATATAATTACAATCTCTGTAAAGTCGCAGATCAAATTTAAAAACATCCTTAGTGTAAACATTTTCAGACGATGTGTTTATTTTAACAAAAAAGTAAGAACAGCTCCCGTGAAGGCCATAACATTGTCTCAGTTGCAATGTCAGCTATTTTTAAAATGCGTCTGTTTAAAAAAAAAACTCGTTTTTCGGTTTTTCTTTTTTATATAATAAAATTCAGCACAAAACCAAACTAACATTAATTAAACAAAGTATTTTTTAATTATGGCTATTAAAGTTACACTTATTTTTTCTCTGAATCCTCGGTTGCACATTAGTGGTTTTTTATTTCATTAAAGAGTGATATTGTTTTAACTAGAAATCAGTCAAAAACGTCTTTTTTCGCCAGCCGTCTTAAAAGATGTCACTTTTAACGTCAATTTTGGACGGAAAACTTGACGTTTTTGTGAGAGTAAAAAAAAGTTGCGTTACTAAAGTAACAACGTCATTTTTGCCTTTTTAATCCTAGCATTAATTTTTTTTTTTAATCCTAGCCTTAAAAAGTTAAAATTTTTTTGAGATTTACTTTTTGGCTGGCGAAAAAGTAGTATGTTTCATTCGGATTAAAAGTCAGTTTTTGACTCGCAATTTTGCATCCGCTCGGCTTCGCTTCGCTCCGCCTCGCAAATGCAAAATTTGCTCGTCGCAAAAAATGGCACTTTTAATCCTAATAAAACAATCTACTATTTTTTTCTTTATGTACATATTCAACTCTAGCCTTGAGGAATTTCAAACCACGTTAAATAAATTAACATATTCAACATTACAATACACACAATCGGAACTAAATACACAAACTGTACAAATTTTAGATAACTTTTAATATCGTAGACACTGTATTTCAGTGAGCTTCTAATCCACAACAGTTCTTTCCATCACTATAAAGTAAAATGTGGTTTTTGTTGATATTTTCCTTCTTTGGTGCGTTAATTTTTGGTTTATTCTGCATCGCACGTTTATCCCGAGGAATAACCAGAAGTAATAGCTGCTTAATAGGCAAAACTGCAATTATCACGGGTGCCAATTCAGGTAAAACAATGAACAAAATTATCAAAAAATAATAACAGTTACAATCAGGACTCGGCTACCAAACTACACTGAATTTGGCGGCAAGAGGATGTCGAATCATAATGGCAGACGTAGCAGATATGGAAAAATCAAAACAGAATGTAATAAAATTCACCAACAATACCAACATCCTAACGAAGAAATTGGACCTATCGTCACTACAATCAGTCCGCGAATTTGCCGCTGATATCATAAAAACTGAAGAAAGACTCGACATATTAATAAATAACGCCGGAATTGTGGGTTCTTTGGAAAACAGGACCAAAGATGACCTCCACCCCGCGATGCAAATTAACTACTTCGGGCATTTCCTCCTCACACATTTATTAATAGGCGAGTTGAAACTCAAATTAATAAATCATTTTTAAATTATTCGTAATAACAGATTTATTGAAAAAATCCGCACCAAGCAGGATCATCTTCACGAGTTCGCTTCTGGCTTTTGTCAACAACTTATCCCTCGACAATTTTAATTTTGACTGTTCGACGAGTCAAATGAACAAGATTTCTCGTGAATGGTTAATTTATGGCAACAACAAACTGGCAGTCATCATCGCTTCAGATATTTTTGCCCAAAAACTGAAAGGGACAGAGGTCACTTCGAACTGCATTCATCCTGGATTGGTTAAAACACCGATATTCACACGTACGCACACGGTTATGGAAAATTGTCTGCATGAAATGTTTTTCACTTGCTGCAACTTTTTTTTTGCCAAGGTTAGTACAATTTTTTTGTTGTACTATGTTTACTTAAGTAGTTGTATTGTTGGTTGCATTTTGATTTTTTTGTATATTGTTGGTTTTTATTATTATTATACAAATTGTATGTTTCACGAAATATTTCCACACATTTTGGTATTCTTAAAATTAATTCGATCAAGTGTTTTAGGATGCATGGGAAGGCTCTCAAACCCTGGTACATGTAGCAGTTTCCAAAAAATTACAACGCGAAACTGGAAAGTATTTTGTGGACTGTAAACCCTTCGTCAAACCTAGACTTGCATATGACCAGCAGTTTTGTCAAGAGATCTGGAAGGCTAGCGAGAAATATGTGCGATTAGAAGAACATGAAAAACTCTGAGTACTTCATTATTAAAAATCCTATTCGATAATCTAAGACTGTCGAATATTTTCATAATATATTATCATTTAACTCTTGCTTGCTTATCATTGTTTAGTACCAATGAAATTTGAACAAGTTATAGTATTGTTTTAATCGCAAACACTAAAAAAAAATAAGAGAATGTTATGTGAAAGGCAAAGCGTAAGGGAACCGTTACGGGTTATCCTTCAAAGAAAATTTATTCAAAGTACTGGACTAAAAAACAATTCACTTTTAATGCATGTCTGCATGCATTTGAATTAATCAACAAAAAGTCATCATATTTTACTTTTAATAGCCTGTGTCTGAAAAAAGAGTCTAGCCCCTACTCAGTATTATGTGATACCTTTAAATATACTGCGACCTCGTTTCAAAAAATAATACTTAACGTTCATTCATTTTTGTCCACCGCATTCAATATATCATGTCATATTTTGTAAAAAATTGTGGTAAAAATTAATTTAATTTTCATGATAGCTGTGATGATTTTATTACCTATTTGCGTATGTAAATCTAATCTATGCCAAAATTTTTGTTTAAACAAAAATGAATCGCATTCGAAGCCACGGTCCCCTTCAACGAGTGTAATTAATGTAATATCAGATCTTGCCGTGGCGTATGGAAGATTTATTTGCCTTACAGTTTCAAATAGTACAAATTCTAACTTAACAATTCCATCCGTTCCTGGTCTTATTTTGTGAAATGAGCACGTGGATAATGCGGCCAATTAAGTAACCCGCGAGGATAAATATGTGTAACTGCGCCGGAATCTCATAACACAACGTAACAGTGAAAACTTAGGAGAGCTCGATACTCTTGATCAGAGTCATCGATCCCTTTGCTTTTTATTCATATTTAAAATTTGCCGCCACACTATCAGAACTTGTGTATTACCAACCAGTGACTTTAATGACGATTTATTTTTGATATTCAAATGTTTGTAGCAATTTGTAACATTTTTGAGAATTGGAACAAGAACAGAGGAACAAACAAGTTGTCCCCCATATTTTGCATATTCAGGCCAAATTTTGAATTTTTCGCGGGTTTATTGTCTTATTTTCGCAGAATGTTTGGTTATCTTAGTATTAGACAGAATTTCCCTCGCCCCAGTTGTTGAACAAACGTCCCAGATCGTGGAATCAAGACTTTTTGGGAGTTACGGTAAAAGAAAATATTCTGCACGAAAAACTCCCGCCAAAAAATCTGAACGATTTTAGAGAATTTTTAAGAAAATTATGAAAAACGTACTAGAAAAGTCAGTCAAAGTATTAATCATGTACAGTGTTTGGAAGAGTTGCAGCGCAATTGGTTACCAAAGGAAGTTGCTATTCAACCAATTATGACGATAGTTCCAAAAAAATTACTTACGTATGCTATCAATCGGACGACTCTTTGTTCGAAAGTGACTTCTTATGTAACTGAATAAAGAAAAACATACAGGTTGAAATTTTCCAATAACTTTTGACTTAGAATTCTGACTGAAATATTTAATTGTGGTCATCAAGTGGCGGCTGACATGTTAATTCGTTTTTTTTCAAAAAAAATTGATGGGATTATCAAAATTTTCGAAAACCAGAGTATTATCAAAAAATATTAATGATAACGATTAAGACAATTGTTTATATACTAATTTTCTTTGGTTTTATAGTCGATTTTATGATGTTTTAACGGGCATGGCTCATTAAACACAGTCTTGGTCAAAGAACGAGTTGTTGTTACGTCAAAATGTAGCGGCCTTCATCACACTTATTGTCAACTGCTGATATGTTGTGAAGTTCTGTGGTCAACTGATAGCAACAACCGCACATTTCCATCTTACGAAAACTGATAACAATTACTCAATAAATGTAAAGTATCCAAGTACTTAAGTATTTAAAAACTTGTAAATTATCCCGACAATATGATTTTGATAATAGATAAGGACACAGTATTTATAATTAAAAAAAGATATAAACGTCTAACGATAATTATTTCGATTACAATTTCGTTTAAAACCAAAAAACACGAATTTCGTAAGTTAGAAACCACATTAGTCGACTGTGTTTTAGAAACCAGCTCATAATTTGATCAGAATTCATATTTCAATGCACTTGATTATATAAGAACGTTGGTTTTTTAATTCCACTAGTAATAGTAAGAGGGGACGCAAACTAGCTGTTCACTTGCTTCCCGTCACATTTGCCTGCGTTTCAAGCGCGTAAACTTTTCGAACCACCGTAAAATTTAGTTGTTCACAATGTGGATTTTACTAATGTCTTGTTGTGCTGTCATTTTCGTTGTGCATATTTTTTGTCGCATGTCCCGGGGAATAACCAGAAGTTCTACTTGTTTAATCGGAAAAACCGCGATAGTAACTGGAGCTAACTCCGGTGAGTAAATTCTGTTCAAATACTGTTGTCACTAATAACAAACTTGTCAGGACTAGGTTACCAAACTGCCCTAAATCTGGCTTCTAGAGGCTGCCGCGTGATAATGGCGGACGTAGCAGACATGGAAAATTCAAAACTAAACATAATAAAACACACAAACAACCATAACATCATAGCGAAAAAACTAGACTTATCTTCGTTACAATCCGTGCGCGAATTCGCCTCAGACATCACCAAAACCGAAGAAGAATTACATATTTTAATAAACAACGCTGGTGTTCCTGGAAGCGAGGAAAACAGAACTAAGGATGATCTTCATCCAGCGATGCAGATCAACTACTTCGGTCATTTCCTCCTCACGCATCTCCTAATAAGTGTGTAATCGACTGCCTTCACTTTCATTTTTAATTCTCTCTCTCTACAGATTTGTTAAAGAAGTCCGCACCCAGCAGGATTGTCTTCACGAGTTCGATCCTCGCTTTCACTAATAACCTGTCGCTGGCTAATTTAAACTTCGACGAGTCTACAAGCAACAATCCAAAATTTTATAGGCACTTGTGTATTTATAGCAATTCGAAATTAGCACTACTGATTGCATCAGATAAATTCGCCGAAAAACTCAAAGGGACGGGGGTGATTTCCAACAGTGTCCATCCAGGACTAGTGACGACACCGATCTACGACAGGGCGTATTCTCTCGTGAACAGTCAAATTATCGAACTAGCATGGCGTTGTGTTCACTTTTTTTTTGCAAAAGTGAGTTGGTTTGATTATTTTTGCGTTTGGTAAAGTGTGTTTGCAGGATGCTTGGGAGGGTTCTCAAAGTTTGGTTCATGCTGCGGTTTCAAAAAAAGTGGGAAATCTCACTGGGAAGTACTTTGCTGACTGTAAGCCATTTTTTAAGCCCCTTTGTGCGTACGACAAGAAGTGGTGCGAGGAAATATGGAACGCGACTGAGGAGCTTGTTCATCTCAAGCCAAATGAAAGACTCTGAGACTGAAATTTGTAAATTTTAAGTAGTAAATAAGTTTAAGTTAAGGGTTATTTCGTTCATAATGAATCTCATCATGAATCGGAGGTTATCAGTTGTTTTATTTCCAAAAGAAAATATTTAACAATCGTTAAAAGGATTGCATCATTCATTAATTTTTATGGGTTACTCTGTATAATCCACGATTTACGTAGACTGATGTTTTGGACAGGTTAAGTAGCATTTATTCGGTTAAATTATGAGATGACGTCATCAAATTTGTCAGAGGGATAAACGCCAGACAGGTAGACGGCAAGCTTGATTTCTGTGCGCTGAACGTACCTCTGACGTTACTTACAATAGTCATTTGATTTTGTATTTTTTTTTCAATGAAATACCATTCAAAATTGTAGTTGCATGTATTTCAATGGAACAATCAAGTGGAGCAATTATTTTTGTTAATAACTTAATGCATGTATAAGGTCGACTGGTTCTTTATTTTGTTGATTCAATTAAATTCCATAAAAATACATATAAAAACACCTATGAAAAATTTATTTGCAACCTTTCTAACAAACTTCTAAATTACATAATACAGGAAAAGTAATATTTCAGACGTACGCGAATTTAGAAGTTTTTGCTAGTATGTTTTTCCGGCTAAAACATAATTATACCGCTTGCAAATTACTGCTGAAAAAACACTTTTTTGAGATGAGTACCTTGAACCTATGTACGTCAAATTATTTCCATAACGTGAAATGCCATATTGATGACGCAGATCGCAAATTAGTACGCAAAACTGTGTCTGTTCCAGGTGGAACCTCACACTGCTAAAAAAAAAAAAAAAAACACGAAGCTCAACAACACAAGACTAGTTTTATTGATAAATGTAATTACAAAATATGAGAAAAATATATTAAAACATATCTTTGAGATCTAACAGTTGACTTTCGCAAAGCAAGTAAATTAACGAACTAACACAACTGTGATAGAAAAGCTGTCCTCTTATACTGACACCTACAAAAATACACAGATCTTTCTTTCTAGATACAATAAGTCAGTAGCAGTCAGTAACGAACAACGAAAAAATACGTGTTAAAGGCTACTGCTACTGAATCGAAAATGAATATAGTGCATCCAGCAAATCACACATAGTCGATGAAGCACACAAATATTTCGTAAAATATTTGCTTAAATATTTTACAAAAATGCCACATTTATTTGGAAAATACAAAATTATGTTTTGTTTATTCTTTACATAATTAAATGTACATGAGGCAACTGTATGAAAGTGTACCCGTCATAGCTGTCGCCAGCAGTAGTGAAACAACGAAACCTTTTACCCTGTTGCTATTGGGTTTGCGATTCGGCCCAATTTCAGATTGTTCCTGCGTGATTGGTGGAGCCTACTAGTGAGACAAGTTATGAGTGGCAACTTTGGGGGCTTTTAAAGCGAGAGTACATCAAACACTTACTTGTACTGGTTAGAGGAATATTCATAACCCTGTAATCTGTTCAACTATTTATATTTTAATGGATGGATTACACTTTTGAGCAATAAACTCGTTAATTTGTTAGAAAATTCAGAGCGCACTAAATTTTCTCACAAATCAGGTTTCACCCGATTCGGGAATAGAGGAAAATAAATAAAACGACAACGAAAAAACAACAAATATTAACACTCTTCAGGCATCTGAAAAAATAAAACAATAAATAAACACACTACTTCACGATATATATACAACAAAAAAATCCCAACGAAATCAGTCTGATCAACTCATGACGTCAATGACTTATATATCATAGAATTCCTTTAGCGGCAATGTACATATATAAGTAATAATATATACACCTATTGTCACACAAATTTGACGGCACTTATACATGCTTCAATAACCAATTGCACAACTCGAACATTAAATTACACATCCTAAATACATGACTTCGTCTTTTTTCGATAAATTAATGCTGCTCCATGATAAAACCGACAAACCAATTTTAAAATAACTCAAACAAACAATAATGGTCCCGTATTTACCAAAATAAAACAATGTATTTAAAAAATTAACACAACATCATTGAAACGTTACGATGAACTTTGTCCCGTTCGAAAGCTAGCTAATTTTAGCCCTTTTTGACAGGTGCTCTGAGGGGCTGACGCAGCTCAGCTTCGCGCTCACACCCCCATTGCAAACGCCATCGTTGCCATAGATCGACAAACTATTTTGCATTATATCTTGTTTCTAAAACCACACGATCAGTTACCAACCCAACAAAAATCCAACTACTCACGATTCCTTCAAGAATAACAGCAATAGGAACAACACCCGTAGCTTCGGCGACCTGATGCTCGATCAAGTAAAACATGTACTCGTCGTACAACAACCTGATCAAATGAAAAGACCCAAAACTTGCAGCCGACCGCAAAGTCAAATCCCGAATCACCATCGAACTGAAAACGAAACAACACTTAAAACCTCAATACACTCAGAACATTATTTCTGTATCCAGAAAACTTTTCCTCCACACTTTCATCGACAATCGTCACTAACCCTTCGAATTTGACTAGACACAGTAATGACCTTCTGAGTATAATTAAATCGTAGTCCCATTATCTTCGTTTCTTCTTCCACTTACCTATAGAAACTCCACTTCAACAAAAACTGCCTCGCCGCCTTTGAAAAGCTGGGTTTCCCCTCGTACGGCTTCAACGCGCTCTTGACGACGTTCTTCAGCCACGACGCCCACTGTTCCAGCGAATTCTGCTGCTGCAGTGTCAGTTTAAAGTCGTTTTCGAACCGGGCCACTATCTCGTTGTCGCACTGACACACCCAAGACGCCTGTTCCCGGACGCTGTGAAAGTCAACCCGATTCAGATCGGTCAGCATCTGGGCGATCTGGGTGCTGTTGTGAAGGACCGCTCGAGCAGCTTGGGCCAGGTGATTCAGGGACGTGTACCGGCGCAGACTGGAGCTGAACGCCGATACCGCGGTTAACTTCGCGGTTAGCATGCCCGCGGGAGCGCCGGTCATGGCGCTCGTAAGCCAGTTCTCCAAGTCTGAAAAATCGATTGAGTGTGCTCGGTCGGCGAAACTTGCATCGACTTACTTTTCGCGAAGTTGCGTATCGACTGGGTGAGAGTGGCCGGTATGGGTTTAAGTACGTCAGGTACGAGGACTTGGATAAGATTCTGGTAAAAAACTAGATCGACTTGCTTCATGAATTGTTGGACAGGCTCTAAAGAACATAGGCAGAAGAGTTTTGATTTTGACAGGTATTTTTCTTCTTCGCATTCGTCGCCGTTGTTGTTGTACTGCGACCTCCAGAACTCCCGCCACAATGATTCGACGGTGCTAAATTCTAAACTTAATATGGCATCTAAGAAGGCTTCTAAGTGTTCCCTATAAATAGACCTACAAGGGGGATTAGTGGACCGTTGCGTCTGGGGTTTGCGACGACATACTTTAACGTATCGACGTCCTCGTAACCGCAATCGTCAGGCAACGACTCCGTGAAGTGTATGTCGGGGAACATGGGGATAGCGTTGCTGCCATCACCTAGATAAGTAACGTGCTGTGTCATAGCCGTAACGGAAACTGAAGCGTCTGACGAATCTGTGCTTCTTTTGAAAGGCCGGACCGTTCCTTGTGCTTTCCCTGACGAGTTCGAAGTATTCAATACCACCCGATTTCCGGATTCGTCCATGTTCATCAAAGACGAACCAGGTTTCACCCGAATACCGTAATAGTGGTACTTGGAATTCCCTCTAGTACCCAGCCTCCGCGTCCTCAAACCCAAGAACACGGACCTTATAAGCTTGCCGAAAGATGCCGCGTTCACCGGTTCGAGTTTGTTTTCGGCACAGTGACGTAAATAGTGAGCGTAGAGGGTTGAACGGGGTAAAGACACCCCTTCGGCGGTTTCGTAATTCTCTAGCAGCCATTGAACCTACAGGGAAAGGGAAATTCGTCGAATAACACCCACGATTCCGAGAAAAACAAGTGAGAATCTAATTTCTCGATTGCGAAAAAACGCAGCGAGAAGCTCCATAAAAACCGTTTAATTGAAATTTCTCCGTAAACCGAAACTGGCGCAGTCGGTAGGATCGACCTAGCTCCTTCCGAGTTATTAGATCCCCACCACAAAAGCAAGTATCCACATTACACAGCAAGCCATACAAGGAAACTACACAGTGAAACACTCCCAAACATGCAATTTGATCGAATTTCGTCGACCCGCTATTTGTGAACGTGCCACGATAGTGCAATCAACCCGCAAGCATAACTTACGGTAGCTGGCGACACTCTGGTGGCGTGTCCCAATGCAGATCCGACATCTTCGTTGGAAACCTGACCCGTTGTCTGAGCAGCATGCACTGTGGCAGTAGCTACATAGCTCGGTTCCTGCGCCCCGTTAGTAGGAAAAAGAAAAAAAGCACCAAGTTAAGGCAAAGTCTTACAAGGTAAAAATCACAAGTATTGTGTGGTTTTCGTTCGACAGAAGTCCCGTTTTGTATACAGACAAAGGTAATTCTATTGCAAAATCTTACAGCGTTTGTGGTTTGTGGGGAATTCCTCGTAGACGCTATCAGCGTATCGGGATCGACGGCCTGTTGCACCACGTAGTGACCACTAGTCGTACTATAACCAACGGTTCCGGGAGTCGCAGACGCCCCTGCGTTCGTCGCAGCGTAGTACTGGCCTTGGCCGGCTGAGTAAAGGGTCGTTGTCTCGCCTACGGTGTACACCGGATACGCCCTAACACAACAAAATAACATATAGCAAAGCTAATTTGACTATCTCAGCTCCACTTTTGAGGAACACAACACAACATCGTAATTTTTATTCTCAGTCTTTACTTAGTAACTCGTGCCGCTCTGATGACTGAACAACAAAAAACACCTCAATTTTATAACAAATTTAGTTAAGATAGCCTGCTTTCCGGCGGAAAGCAAGTCTTGGATTCGATATAACAAACGTAACTTACATTTGTGCCTGCCCACTGTTCGTCTGTGTGGCGTAAATCTCCGGCTCCACATACTGTATGTGATAACCCTGATGCGATGCCACCGTGTCGCCTTCGGCAACTGAAAACACGAAATTAAAAAAATCTCCAGGTCGCACCGAAACCAATCAAATAAAAGAAAATTCACTAACACCCGCAATATTTGTACATCCACTTCTCCTCTTGCCTTTGGCAAAACATCTTCCATGACAACTGAGGCCCAACTGCCAAAGATCACGACGGGAAAAACCCATATAATAATGAACGCATCCTTGCGGAAATAACACGATGCATCATCCCCTACCTGTCGCGTCATCCCGAATCCCACATATCAAAGCGATACTCCCCATGTGATTGGCGTGATCAAATAAGAACCCGGATAATCTAGTAGAACAGGTGACGCGTGACCGACACGTGCTCGTCAGGTAATTCGGTACGCACGTGGTGGTTAGTGCAAGGGGGCAGATGTGATTTTCCCCTTTTGCTTCAGGTAAAATGCAACCCTTCGGATAAAACATTAGGGGTGAAGCCACCAAGACTCGGCGGGATGTGCACTGTACTATGACAAAGTGGGGACAGGGGTGGGTGTATTTTTCTTTTGCTGCTAGACGGTTGATATTTTCAGAAATACGGACTGTCTGGGGAAGATACCGACAAATTTTAAATATTATTCAACGACTTACTCCGACTATTCTTTAATAAGCGTTTTAGGTTATGTTCTAAATGCAGTCCTGTCGCTGCCACCACATTCACCATAAGCGAAATGCATCTTAATTGCATTGAAGGGGTAAAAGCACTTTTTGTCTCATCTGTCATTCAAACAAAATTTTTCTATTTTTATAGAAAATGATAAATTTTAAAGATCTACGCTAATTTAAAAACTGTCATTAATTACTTATACTACAGGGCCTTCATAAATCCTTCGTGCATCGAGTGATCAGTGAAATTCAAAAATGCCGCTTCTTAATAATGGTAGACAATTTGAAATTTTAATTAATGTGGTTAATATGTGATACGCCAACGAAATTTTGACATTTGAACTGTCGTTGCCATGGATATGATTAGAAGTTGGCATTATAGTTACACACTCGGAAAGAGGCGGAACAAATCAGTGCACACCTACATGTTAAAGTAATTTATGAAAGTCCTGTATATTTAATGAGCCTTTGGATCAGCCTTAACGACTTAGATTAATCAAATAACTAGTTGAACACAAAATTTGTGTATAACGTTATAACAAAGCGTCATCAAAGAAGTAATCGATTCATAAAAAACGTAAGTAAGTTCTGTTTAACATTTATCAACACAATCGTAATAAAAGAGATTAACAGCAAACAAAAGAAAAATATCTTTAATCGTGACATTTATTCTCGGACAATACATGCACGTCACATTCACAAACACTTAGTAAAATTGGTGCTCTTACCTACTGCAGGCTGAACTGGTGTTAAAGAAGCGTATGATCTAGCCGCAGCTTCTGTTAGCGTTAACATATTACGTACAATGTTAATAAATGGAAAGAATAACTATTACCGGAAGTGAACAGGGTTACATGCCAGGGTGAATTTCGTGTGTTTAATACAAATCGGCGCGAATGGAAAGAATAAACGACTTTAGTCAGTTACATTAAAAAAAAACCCACAGACTGAAAAAAAAGTAAAATTTTCACAGACTCGAACGTTTTCAAATGTTTAAAAAAATTTTGAGTACCACAGACATTTCGCTATCTTGGATGATACTATACTATGTCTCATACATAATCGATGAATCCATTACGCACAAAGCAAGAAAAAATGAAGTGTTGAAACAAATTAAAAATAATTATTCAACCGAGGTTAATGTCAAGACTTATTTACACCGAACAATAGAACAAAAAATGGTGAGTGCGAATCACCTAATTCGATATTCAAATAAACAATACATCAAAAATTCATATGTTCGTTAGAAAAATGCCTGCCTTGAAAGAAGAAAGTAAAATCCTTTTCTGAAACGATGCACAAACTGTACTGTCGTATTTACGTGATCTTCCTTATTGATTTTACAGTATTATCTAACTAAAAACTGTTTTATTAAACTACGACATCTAGAAACTAGCAAAGGTGAGAAATGCATAAATTCCGTCTGCGCATAGCTCCCGCGCACGTCTCAGTAATTGTCTTTGCAAACATTTTTTACCAACTGAAAGCTTCACAGGTGATTACATTACGTTGATATTTACGTTCTGAATGTTAAAATTAATTGCGAACTTAAGCCTCTTGCAGACTTTTGACTGCTAAGAAGATTCAAAGAGAAAATTATTAGCTGAATGTCGAGCTTACAAATGTGATAATGATATCTCATGTGAAATAAGGATCCCACTTAGTTATAAAAGACAACGTAACACTGGTAAAAAAAAATTCCCGACAATTTTTATTTTTAAGTATACATTAGCAGTGCAGTGTAAGTGATTAAATAGACAGGTGAATGCCATGAAAACGATGTATAAAAAGCTTGTCCTCCATAAATATCACGGCAGAGGTGCCAACTATGTTAAGTCATAATTTATGACACGGAGAAAGTAAATTATTTTCATAAATAACTCGTTGCTTTTTTAAAAACCCTTATTTTCTGAATTACTCTTTTGAAGAATATCTCACAAACGATATTAATCTCTAAGTAAACACGATGTCTTTACTTTGATGTTAAAACCACAATATTTACCACTTGTTTTAAAACGCGTCCAGTGAATTTTTCAACAACAAAATAAGGGACAATTATACAGTGAGGCCACAAATCGTCATACTATCTGCGTTGTAAGTTCGTCTTAACATTACGAAGTTAAAAAAATCATCTCCTCCAGTTGTGTCTAGTTTCTTTTATCGATTGTTGGCGTAAAAAAATCCCTCGCTAATTATTTTGCTTACATAACATCTACTGCAGAAAAAACGTTTACTTTGAAGATTTTTACGGGAACATGCGCTATTCATTAACCTGTAAGCAAAAAGCAGCAGATCGCAATACAAGCACATAACTCTAAAAACATGACTGGAAACTTGTAACGCCGAACTTACACAGAAAACTTGCTACCAGTGAAATTTCTACGGTTCAAACATCATACAAACCATGTGAAAGTGAAAACTATTTAACACCTTTGTGCTAAAAAATATGGATGCTGGAAAAGTTCTAAAATGCTATTCTAAAATAATGCATTGCTTAAAAGTTATTTTTATATCCACAAAAATTTGACTGGCCTGTGAAATTAACAACGGTAATAATTTGTTGTGTAAACAAATCCTAAATGACACTGTACCAGTAGTAGGTAGAATCCCGTGCCAGGGATGTACTTTTAAAATTTAGTTATTTATTGCTACTTCTTTCTGTGAGTTTAAATTCTCTCTATTACAACTCTTATTTTTAAGTCATTAACATTGGTATTGTGGCATCCAAACCCTCATAATCAGGTCCCAAAATTTAAGTGAATACAAAAAAACGTTCTGAGTATACCTTTAAATAAGATCCTATGTTGGCCATGCTGTTGAGCACCTATTAAGTATGACACTATTCTAACAGTTTCGGTAAAGTAACACGCAAAACACTAGACGGCTATTTTTGGACGAACAATTTTAAATGGCTTAGAGGGTTTCTATTTTTCCCAAGATCTATAAAACTAACAAATTAAGCAGTTTCTTCAGGGCAGGCACATTAACAAATTAAAAAATTGGTGCAAGGCTGGTGTTTTTGGGTAATGAGTTAAACACACCACCAAGTCTCATTATAACTAAGGCTCGGATAATATGCAAAATACATATTTTTGCTGCATTTTTTGTGGTAACTAGTAAAAATTTTAATACAGGTGTATTATTAGAATTCTTTACTTATAGATAGTTCTGCAAATGTATTTAACGAGGGGTTGGAAGAGTCGGAAAACCTAGAATGGATTTGTAAGTATAGTGAACCAAGAGCTATAAGGTTATATGGCCATCATAAAATCATCCCATTGTGTCGAAGTTAAGTTGTTTACAATAGAAAAGGTTTTAGGGTCGTAAATAACGAGTCCACTACAGCTCGATCGGCTCTTGCGGTTTCGTTCAGGGGCGGCTTTCACTAAATATGAAAATCCACCACTCCACTATTTCTTTGCTACCTGCAGCCGCTGAGGGTTCCGAAATAACCACTCGCTTTGAAAGCCGGCCCTGTTAAATATGAGCAAGAAATGTTTAGAAGATGATTTATTGCCAACCGGTAAGCTTAGTGCGAACCACACAAAGGGGTATTTATTTGCGGTCAACTAATTTTATGATGGCCATATAACCTTATACCTCTTGGTTCACTATATTTCATTGTTCGATTTCCAAATTCATTCATCATTCGTCTACGAACTTGGCAACAGCGCAGTGATATTACGAATAATTAAAAAAATGTCTTCCAAATTTGGTTCTAGATCGAGAGGTGTTTTTTGCAAACCTTGGGGCAAAGCAGTAAGTTTTTTCAAATATATTTTCAGTCCTTAGAATAAAGTCTAAGAGAACCGAATAAATACATACGTTTTGTATGTTATTCAATGTCAATAATACCTTAGGTATCTCTAACATAAATAATTATTTGTTTTTAATTTTTTTTTTTATAGATTTCGAGCACAAACAAACTTCTTATAGGCCAACACTGCAGAATCCTCTTCAAAAAAGAAATAGTGAAAAAAGAAACTCAACCAGTGTAACTCAAACGTCAATACGAGAAACTTTATCTGCTAGTACAGGCAAAAATGAACACAAGATTAGCGGAAAAACGAAATCAATTTCCATTGGTAAATGAATTAATTAATAATATGAAAAAAATCGGTCGAAGGTAATATCAACAAAACTTTCCTCGTGTCTGAAGTGCTGCCAAATAAATCCCACTGTTTCGAAAACAATTTTTTTTGCAAGTTTTGTTTTCTGATAACCTCTATAAAGTAAAATCCAGCGGTGTAAATAACGGTCCCACAGCTTTTTTGACTTGAATTTTTCAGTTCTTCAATCTTTCATTTTTTTGTTCCATTTTTTCGATTTCAAATTTTTCGAGTTTTCAACTTTGGAATTTTTCAATTTATAGATTTTGCAATTTTTCTGTTCAGTTTTATTTTCTTTATTTTTACAATTTTTCAATGTTCCGATTTTATAATTTTTTGTTTTTCTTTTCTACAATTCTGCGATATCTCTTCGAGTTTTCATTTTTTCAAAAACTGGAAAATTTACAGTTTTCGGATTTTCCAACTTTCGAACGTTTCAATGTTTAGATTTTGTAGTTTTCCGATTTGAAATTTCACGAGTTTTGAATTTTTAATTTTTTAATTTTTACATTTTTTGTTTTTCATTTCTTCCGTTTTTCAAGAAAAACGAGAAAGTACAAATTATTCTACGTGGCTTACATTGGAAGTACAATGCAAAATTATTGAATAATATATTGATACTATGTTTTTTATTATAAAATCTCTTGTTCTTTGTGCCAAAAAATTGTTGAAAAAAAAACTGTGTACATAAAGAAAAAAAAACAAAGATTAAGACCCACCCACCCGGCCCGATCTCAATTGTGATGGGTTCTTCATTCCTAATCAAACCGAGAGGCGGAGTTTAATTGTAACATCAAAATTTCTCTAGAAAATTCTACCCTTTTAAAAACATATTTCATATAGCAAAATCCTCATTTCATGTAGAGAAATGAGGATTTTGCAACTAAGCTCCACGCTCCAGCTCACGATGAATAACAAATCCACAATATAGACGGGGTGGGTGGGTGGGGCTTATATTTTGCCCATTTTTACTTAATATACGAAGTCTTTTTTCCAAAAAAGAAACTGAAAACATGTTAACTATCCTGCTGTTGAAAGAAAACTCTACATATTAAAAAAAAGATTAAATCCCACCCACCCGCCCCAGTCGCAATGTCATGAATTTTTCATTCGTTGTTAGACCGTGGGGCTGAGCATAATTGCAAAATACATATTTCTCTACAAAAATTTACCATTTTCAACATGTTTTAAGTTTCTTGTTGGGGAAAAAGGCTACAGGAAAAAAAAAGGCAAATAAATTTGTCAAATTAAACAAAGCATAACGTTAATCAAGTGATTAAAAGTACGGTACAAACGGGCACTACAAATTGAATAACTACGTAATCGAAAAAATGAAATATTGTAAATTCGAAATACTAGAAATTAAAAAATCCGAAAATCGGATAATTGAGAAAGCCAAAAATTGGACAATTGAAAAATTTGAAAATTGGAAAATCGAGGAATTGAAAAATGAAAAATTTTGAGAATGAAATGAACGGAAAAATTGTAACATCCGAAGAAACATTGAAAAAATAAAGAAAATGAAAGGAAAAATTATGAATAAAATCAAGAAAATGAAACTTAAAAAATCGGGAAAACGAAAAATAAAAATAAAGAAGAAAATGGAAAAATTGCAGAATGAAAGAAAATGCAAAAATTGGCCAAAGGTAAATATAAATCCAGATTTTTCGAAAATTTTAAGATTTGATTTTGCGAATTTTCTTTTTTTTATGAAAACCCTTGTAAGTTAAAATAAAAATGAGTATGTATTGTTAAAGTAAATGTAACGAAACGCGTTTCATTTACATTTTAGTACCTGCTAAGATAAGAGTGATTTTGGCAAATGAGATACTCTCTAAGAAAAGAGAAGGCGGGTGGGCGGGGCTAGTACCTGCTAAGATAAATCTGATTTTGGCAAATGACATACCCTCTAAGAAAAGAGAGGGTGGGTGGGTGGGGCTAGTACCTGTTAAGACTAATTTTGGCAAATGACATACTGTCTAAGAAAATCGAGGGCGGGTGGGTGGGGCTAGTACCTGCTAAGATAAAACTGATTTTAGCAAATGACGTATCCTCTAAGAAATGTAATTAAATTATTATAAAAAAATACACTAGAGGCTTCAAAGCCCTTTCAAATTCTTTCCAAACAGGAATACATGGAACATCAAGATTGTTTTAAATTAAAAAAAAAAACGGGTCCCAAAATTTACTCAAAAACAGGACAGGTCAGAATTTTCCAGAAATAGAACACCAAGTCCCCCAAAATTGTTTTAAATAATTTCCAAAAAAATCTCCATGACTCCCAAAAAAATACACCATGGGTACTCAAACATTGCGGCAATCAGGACTTTTTCAAATTCGTAAAAAATAAAACACTAAAAGCTCAAAAGATTTTTTCAAGTTCATCCATTAACAAAACACCAGGGACCTAAATTAACTGCGAACATTTTAAACGTAGAGTTTTGAAAACTTTGTACCTTCGCTTTATCAGGCAAACGTTGTCAAATGGAATTTTATCAAATTATTACAAAACAACACAACCACATTTTTTTACATTCTAACTGAAATGGTAATTAAACATGGTCATATGCGATAGAAATTTTAACTAAAAGTTTTATTATTAGTTATTATGACAATGAATGTGTTGTTTAGTTGGTAAACGTAGCAAAAGAGACAATTTTAAACAAAATCATTATAATTCCAGACAATTAGCATTTTTGCAGCAGTTACTCAAAGGTCTCGCAATGCAGACTTCAAGCTTTTCTCAGTCGATTTGTGCCGAAAAATGTGTTATGGCGGCAAGGGTTTTAAATTGAGTTATGAACAAATTTTGTGGACGAGTTATTATGAGTTTTCCCTTAACAAAATTTTGTGATGACGTCATCAACATTTTTGCAAAGATACGTCTACTGAAATTTGGGAACAGTACTGTGTTCCCAAATTTTCGAGAAAACAGAGTGAGCGGTTCCTGATTTAATCAATAAAATAAATTGACTCATTCATGCATTTTTATGAGTCAGCCTGTGTATGAAATTTAAAAACTTTTAATGCAATGATAAATCACAAGTATAGACACATGATATTTTGCACATTTTGGGTAGGATTTATTCGGCAAAATTTTGAGAATATTGTTATTCAGTTTTGGATTTTTTTCAAAAATTCGACATGGTTAGCCAGATTTTAGTTAACGTTTGATCAACTACATGATATACATACAAAATGTGACAACCATCGGTCCAGTAGTTTCGGAGATTACTTGTTTAATAAAAATGGATACAGATAGAAAGACAGACAGACAGACAGACAGACAAACAGACAGAAAAACAGACAGACGGAAACGGGAAACCACTTTTTTCGTACTCTAGTGGTCATGACAAGTCGAGAAAACATGAAAGTGGCAATTCGGCCGATGGATTCGATTACTATACTTCCTTAGCTTAGGCCCCTTTAACAGTACAAGCACATAAAGATACACTATCAGATGTACAATTGCCTCCTAAATCTGTCATTACACGATCGGATACATGGTTTGACGCAGCTTTATTTTATTACAAATATTCCTGTGAGATGAAAGAAATCATGTGAAAATTTGATGATAGTTCATCTGCAGCAATCAAAGAAACTAAAAAGATTTTAAATAGTCCTAGATTAAATCAGAACTTAAGTTTTATAAATAACACTTACGAATTAATTGGTGTAACATTAACAAAATAAAAAAAAAAATTAATAAAGCACAAGATTCTATTGTTCAAACAGACATTAATTTAAAACAGAAAACCTAGAAAAACATATAATAAATGTAAATAATATTTTTCAAGAAAGTAACTAGTTAGTCAATAAAATAGCTAGTTAATAGAGTAATAGAATACACCGACATAGTTAGTTTTAATTTATAAATGTGTAGTTTAAGTCCAAATATGTAAATTATAAGTGTTGTAAGAAATGCTAGAAATAAAATATTAATGTGTAAAAAAAAGGAATTTTTCTTGCATATTTTAGCAATTTTTTGCATATATGTAATGCCAAATTTTTCTGCATATAATTCCGAGCTTTAATTATAACAGGTAAATATGGTCTGCATGATTTATTATTTACCATGCCCGTTTGTTAATCGTCCCGATGGGTATTAATTTAAATTACGTTGTATACAGTATGTTAGAATGTATATCTGGTACAACCTGTACAACGAACGCTATTTTTGTCTTTAAATACAAACTTATGTCTGTATTTTTATCATCCAACATAGTACAACTAAGTTAGCAAGTATTTGAAAACGTTCGAGTTTTAACTGAATTACGTATATTTAACAACAAGAGATGTCGAGTAAGACTCAAATTTCTCTGAAATATAATTCCTAATATCGCAAACAATTGAAATTAAAACCTCAATACGTACTAGTCATCCAGAAACCAAGTTCCTTTAAGGCACCTCTCTCAACTAGTTCGGTATCGCTTGCGCATGTACGGTTGCTTTCTTTTGTTCATTGAGAAGGCACATGCATAGTTACACTAACAATGGATTATAGCTGAGTTTTATGTAGCTTTGAAAATGTTAAAGTCCATTCAGCATAATGAGCCTCCTGATGATTTACGATTAATATAAGAGAACGTTTCATGGTTAAGAGTTATTTTGATGACTGACTAAATACTTCCTGCATGATGAATTTTCACCATGCTATCCCTACCCGTAAAAATCCAACTCAACTTATGTTTTTTTATAAAGCCGTAACGAACTCAGTTGCTGGATTACCCGCATAAATTTAATCGCAAAATAAAAAAATTAACATGGTATTTTTGTTAGTAAATTATTTTTATTTTTATGGTGCATACTGGTTGACGGTGTAGGCAACCAAATATACAACGTCGAAAAAAAAAATTAAAACAATTTCACTCGCGGAGTGACTTTTGTTCTAAATTGTTAAAATGTACTTGCCTGTGACTGTGATGAAGTGCGGTGAGCTCTGTGCGATATTTTCCGAATCGTGCGTCTCTCCTTGTTGTTCGGCTGTGGCAGTGCTCTCGTTGCTCGATTCAGCAGCTTGCTCCAATGCTGAGACGTCTATCACCGGCACCCCGTTAACAATTGCCCCTCCTGCGGTCGACTGCGTTAAAACAGATCATCAGAACTCCCTCATCAACGCGAGATAAAAAACAGATCTAATCATGATCGAGATAAGCCGAAGAAGGAGATGGAATCAATAGCGCGGAGGGGACACACGAAGAATCAATACCCCACGTAAACGTGGTGTGTGCAAAAGTCGCTATTACCTGGTGCAAACTAGCAGGCAGCACGATTAGCTGGGTAGCCTGAGTTTGGGCCGGGGGTGAAGTGGCCGGAGTGGGAGTGGGAGGGCTGCTGCTGCCTCCTGCTGCAAATCGAGCTGTAGTTGCCATGGCTGCGTTTCCAAGGCTACTCCTGATGCCCCCTCTGGAACAACCAATGAGCTAGAGTATCGAGGAATGCGCCGAACAGATAATCCGGAGAAAACAAAGTGAGTATGAGTCGAGCCAGGTGCGGACTGCGGCCGTTGTAATTGCCGGTATCCACCTGGCCCTAGATAATTGGGCAGGTGGTGAGTCATGCAGGTGGGGGAGGCACGTGTGGGAAAATTTTTATCCGCGGATTATTCCCGTTTGGGGTGCAAGCCTGGCACAGCTTGGCACCAGCTCGGGACAGCTTATTAAGGTTTGAGCGTCTTGGGGCGGGAAGCCATCGCTATAGCGACCCACCATGGTAACAGATCTGGGGTGAAATCTCTCTCGCTGTACCACTTTCTCGAGATCAATGCTCCCTCACAAACAAGTGCTTTGATAACTCAGCCAACTCACCTCTTCCGACTGCATTTCTCTACAACAGAAGAATGCCCAATTTGCGATCACCTGCCAAGTTAATTCGTCATCAAAGTCGGGCGACTGCCCCCTAATTGAGCGCCCTTTGACTCGTCGAAACTAATTTAAAGTTGCTAATGACGTCGGGGGCGGCGGCGGCGGCGGTGCACGTGCAAACGGCAAAAACACCAAAATATCACCACTTTCGGCTTTACCTATGTTGCTATGTTGTTGTATCGGTTGCTAGCTATGGTTGCTAGGCAGTCTCCAAGGATACGAAAATGAATTCCTCCGCTTTGACAGCTGGCGAGTTTCGGAAACGGGGGCCCCGTCTTCAGCTGTCCGCGAGCCGTCGGCGACGACCTCCAGGTACCGCACCGGGCGCTCTGCCCATTTTTTCCAACCAGCTTATTATTAACGCACTCGACTTTGTGTTATTGATTATTTAACGCAGTGATACGGCCATTGCCGGTAATGCAGGAAACTGCGCGGTTAAGCCCGCTTCACGGCAGTCCAGCGCAATGCAATCAATAACGCGCACGAAAACGAACAAAATGACGAACGAAACGGAGCCTTGGGGTCGCGGGACGCCAGGAGCGGGACTCCCGAAGGCTGGGGGTTCGTGGTCGCGGAACGGTCGGCGGCGTCGGCGGCGGACGGGGTAGTCGCAAGGACGCGATTTTCGAATCACTTACCTCACGTCGCGGCTTTTCTCTTATCTACTTCATTACCGGAAAAATTACGACCTTATCTTAACTGTGATTATCGCAGAATTAGCGGATTTCAGCACTTTGGTCGGCACTCGCAGATCTATTGTTATTTGTTGCCACGGCGACGGATAAACAGTTGCTAGGCAACGGGGAAACAAAGCAGCCGGCCGGGGCCCTTTTGAGATTTGGAATAGGGCGGCGGACTCGGGAGGCCCTTTTCACTTAATTAATCTTCTTATTACGAACTTGATTCCAGCGGGTGGTGACAACCCCCAAAATTAAATATTAGTCACCAGAAAAAAATCACCCCTTCGTCACCTTATTTAATTTTTTTCGCTACTAATTAATTTGGTTAGTCAAAGTTTGTGAACAACACTTCTAACGTTATTTTTTCGTACTTACCAACAACAAAAAATGGTCTAAACAATTCATATTTTCTTAAAAAAAAAATTGTTTACAGTTTTAACAGTTGCAGATTGTTGTGATTTTAGGGGATAAAACTCCACCATGCAGTTTTATCACTATAAAAGGGTTTAGTGGTATTTTATCACCCATAAAACTCTTTTTTTGCTAAATATGACTGCTTCAATGTCTAAATTTAAAACACTTTGCATGAAAAAACAATTTCTTTACACCACGGTTATGTCAACCAGTGGGGAAGTTTGATCGAAATCGGATGACCCTGATTCCTCTGAAGACGATGACGCAATAACAGAAAATACACCCTCAGATGCAAAACTTTACTACAACATTTTGCACATTTTAGAAAGGATCCATCCATCAAAATTTTGAGATGACGTCAAAAGTTTTTGGAACGGATGAACAGATAAATTTTATTATACTAACTTTAATCGGTTTGCAAGATCTCAGAACATTCGGTTTTCCAATTTCTAATTTAAATTATAAAATGTTTTACAATTAACCTCTATGGAGTAAAAACAATTTAGAAGGTACTAGTCACAGTGTAATAGAAAACACGTGGAGCCCCCGAGAAGGTTTTGTCTTTTTTAAAAAAGGACAGTTGAGTGAAGAAAGTTTCACATTCTTAAAAAAAATACATTTGGGGCCCCTGAAAAGGTTTACATTTTTAGAAAAAGACAGTTGGAACTCCCGAGAAGGTTTCACATTCTAAAAAAAACAATTGTCGCCCTCGAGAAGGTTTTACATTAAAAAAAAAAAAACATTTGACGCCCCCGAGAAGGTTTTATATTTTAAAAAAAGACAGTTAGGATCCCCGAGAAGGTTTTAGTTTTTTAAAAAAGATAGTTGGGACCCCCGAGGAGGCTTCACATTCTAAAAAAAAACAATTGACGCCCCCGAGAAGGTTTTACGTTCTAAAAAAAACCATTTGACGCCCCCGAGAAGATTTCATATTCTTAAAAAAATACATTTGGGGGCCCCAAGAAGGTTTTACATTTTTTAAAAGACAGTTGGAGAAGGTTTCCCATTCTAAAAAAAAAACAACATTTGACTCCCTTGAGAAGATTTTGAATTTTTAAAAAAGACAGGAGCACCGAGAAGGTTTCACATAAAAAAAAACATTTGACGCCCCCGACAAGGTTTCACATTCTAAAAAAACTGGTCGAAAGTTGTTTCGACAGAATCTCCCTCGCTCCTGAAGTACAATGAAACATATTCAGCATTTTCGAGTTCAGGTTTTTCTTTACCTATATAATTTTGCGATGTCGTCGTCAACATTTTTACAAAGACACATATATCAACTTGGATTGCTATTGGTACACTGTAATACTAAAAATAATAGTATTGTATTTCCCAAATTATCTGGGAAAATAGAGTGAGCCGTTCCTGATTAAATCAATAAAATAAATTGATACATTCATCAATTTTTTTGAGTCACCTGTATAAGCAAATCTAAAAATATGGATGCAATGATAACTCACAAGTACAAAATCTCATGATATTTTGTACATTTCGGATAGATTTAGGAATTTAACTCGTTACTATGGAAATTTGCAATTTAACACCTTTAAATTTCACAAGTTTTTAGGAGTACAATATTAATAGGGGCAAAATTAGTTTTAACTTAACAAGTACTAGGACCGCCCGCCCGCCCCCTATTTTCTCAGAGGATATGTCATTTGCCAAAACAAGACTTATGTTAGCAAGGACTAGTTTCGCCCACCCCGCCCTTTATCTTCTCAGATGGTATACTTGCTAAGATAAGTCTTATTTTGACGAACGTCATATCCTCTGACAAAATAGGGGGCGGGTGGGTGGGGCTATTACTTGCTAAGGTAAAACTTATTTTGGAAAATGAGATATCCTCTGAGAAAATAGGGGATGGGTGGGCGGGGCTAGCACTTGCTAAGATAAGACTGATTTTGCCCCTGTTAAATTGCAAATTTCCCTAGTAACGAGTTAAATTCCTAAATCTGATTGGATGTTTATTTTTTAACAACTTACGGGCCAATTTCAAGTTGGATTTACAATTTCGGAAGTCCTCGTTGCCATGGAAGATGCAATGATAACAGTCGCGAGGACGAATCATGTCGCGAATTGCAACAACTGTCATCGAAATTACCATAGCAACGGCAATTTCGCAAATCCAACTTGAAATTACCCCCTTGGTCATAAATTTTTTTGAGTCTCCCTGTTTAAGCAAATCTAAAGAATATGAATGCAGTGATAAATCACAAGTATAGACTGATCATATTTTATATATTTTACACAGCATTTATCCGGCAAAATTTTGAGATGACGTCAGCAATTTTTTGGAGGGGATAAGCGAATATATTTTGAGTAAAAAAATTATTATGCTTACCATAAATTTAAAACATCTGCAAGATTTCAAAGGATTCAGTTTGGTAGATTCAAAATTAAATTACAAAATGTTGTTTTATAATTTTGATTTTTTTCCAAAAATCTGGACGTTTCGGGTAAAAACCACCTATCTACATGATATTCCTAATACAAATACAAAATTTGACAACAATCGGCTCAGTACTTTCGGAGACGGTAGACAGACAGACGGAAACGGGAGACCTATTTCTTCGTACTGTAGGGGTCATGAAAGATCGAGAAAACGTAAAATTAGAGACTCGACCGCCGCACTCGATTACAATATTTCGAAAAAATATGAATGCAATGATAAATCACAAGGAAAAACCCATCATATTTTGCACATTTTGACTGATTCATTAATTTTTTTGAGTGACCCTGTATAAGGAAATCTAAAATGACATATATCTAATACTGCTATATTGCTAACTCTTCAGAAGAAACATAGAAACGGTGTTCACGGACAAAGACAGACGGAAGATATTGTTTTCTGTCTATAAGAGTACCGAGGGTCTGTGCGCATGTACACAAAATAGAAGTGAAAATGGTACGAAATGTCAAAACGCATCCAGTCACGCTATCGACTACAGATCAAGCAAGTATGCGCACTACTATTTCGTACCACAGAGAGACAGAGAAGTCCGATATATTGCTCTGTCGTTGTGTTTTCGGACTATTGAGGCCAGTTAGAAATATAGTATAGTGAACCAAGAGTTATAAGGTTATATGGCCATCATAAAATCATCCCATTGTGTCAAAGTTAAGTTGTTTACAATAGAAAAGGTTTTAGGGTCGTAAATAACGTATCCACTGCAGCTCGACCGGCTCTTGTGGTTTCGTTCAGGGGTGGCTTTCACTAAATATGAAAATCCACCACTCCACTATTTCTTTACTACCTGCAGCCGCTGAGGGTTCCGAAATAACCACTCGCTTTGAAAGCCGGCTCTGTTAAATATGAGCAAGAAATGTTTAGAAGATGATTTATTGCCAACCGGTAAGCTTAGTGCGAACCACACAAAGGGGGTATTTATTTGCGGTCAACTACTTTTATGATGGCCATATAACCTTATAGCTCTTGGTTCACTATAGTATTAGATATGTATATGAAAAATGACGTTCTTAATTTGATAAAAAAAAGATCGAAGGCTATAAGTATAATCAGATAAATACAGCTCTTTAAAAAAATTATAAAATTTGATTTTACGACGATTTTCGTTTTGTGATAACCGCTGTAAAGTAAAAACCAGAGGCATAAATAACACTCCTTGTCCTTCAGCAGTAGGTAATAACAATCTGAAGCTTAAGTGTTTATTTATGTTTATGCATCGAAAGAATGTCACGTAGAAGTTAGTTTGATTTTAATAAGTTTATCTTCTCAAAACAGGAGTAAAATTTTATTAATTAAACAACAATCGAACAAAATGTTCTGAATATTATAATTCTTATTTTATCAAGACGTGCGTATTCTTCACATTTTCGAAAAAATGGGGCGACTCGTTCTTAATTTGACCAATAAAAAATTTGTGATGTCATAATCAACATGGATAATTCTAGTCACAGCGTTATACTAATGCAAGAAAAAAAGGAAAAGGCCAAATTCGGCATCGAACCACAATCGCAGTACCACGAAGACGTTCAAATCGTGTCGGGAATAAATCGTTATTATACCTTGCAAATGTTTTTGCGAAAATTTGAACGTTTAGCGAAAAAACTGAAAGTGGATCCGTACACTACAATTTATTGAAATGACGTCACGAAATTGTTGGTGGGAATGATTAGCCAAATTTTGATTAGCATTACGTGTTTAATAAAAATGGATACAGACCAGACAGACAGAGGGACTTGAACTATAGTTCCTTAGCTTACGCTCGGGAAGTAAAAATAAAGGCAATTGATAAAACACAGATGTTACTTTGCAAAATTTTGAGATGACGTCGTCAAATTCTCGGTGGGGTGAGCAGACAAATGTGTAAAGCTGTTTCTATAAATGTAGCTTCAAGGTTTTATCTATGTTAAACAAACACATTTCAAATCTGAGAAACATATAATTCATATAATTGACACTTTACAGCAAATAATCTCTACGTTAGTCTAGCTACCACGTATAATACCTACGTATAATACCTACATATAACAAAACGTACAAAATTAGGATGACAATTCACTTGTTTTACAGCTATCGCTGATATCGAGGACTTTCCAACTCCATCGTTATTTCTTCTGCGTCTGCATTATTAAAGTAATAGTTGGGACTTTCATTTTTTATCCACTGTATGCATTTTTCGATTTGTTCGGATCTTGGTACACTACTTCCCTTGGATGTAACAAGGCCTTCTGAAAAATATGTACATATTTTTTTATATCGATATGATAACGTTTAATAGACATAGTGATAAATCGTTACCTCTCTGTGAGGTGTCAGAAGCCAGAAATCGTTTCGCAAGACGATGTCTGTTGGTCCTCTCTAGTATGTTTCCAAAGAATCTCTAAGTAATTAAAACAACAGTAAAAATAATAATAAAAAGACATGTTTACCGTCAGCAAGTGCGCCGCATCTTTGTCATATTTTTTTATAATGTCACTGACTTTGACATATGCTGGAAAAGTATATTCTAACTTAAAATGCGCATGGTCGGTGACGTTACTTAACTGCCAGAGGTACTCAAGGACAGTTTGACAAGAAAGAAGATCCATTTCAAATAAACCACTAGCTTCTAACACCAGGTGATTGCTTTCATATAGTTCTAGTTCCTTGAAATTTACAATTAGACAGTTAACAATGTTTGAAATAAAAACTACCTTATCATGTTCTATAAGTGCTGTCCATAAACTATCACAATAACGTACTCTGTAAAAACCCATTTGTTGATAGTTTAGTTTAAGCCATGTTGCATTATTTTTCGGTATAGTTACTGCAGTAAGATACATAATCTTATCTAGGTCTAGATCATTAAAACGATACTTACACGTTTCCTGATCTTTGTAGAACCATGTCACGGTACTATTGCAACAATCTGTAATGTACCATATTGGAATCGTCCATCTATGTCTAGAAACCAGTATAGATTAACTCTTTCGGATTCAAATCAAACTGAGTCTAGTACCTAGCAGAAAAATCTGCACGATTCAGCGAAGGATTAAAACCATAGCTTTCCTGTCTTAGCACCCAATTATCTCCATCTTCGTCAACAAAAATGACAGGGAACTGATTTTGATACAAATAACTCTCCATAAATTCACGAACACCCGCATCTGACGTAACCCTCATCACAGTATCAATAAAATCAGAAGTAGTAACTGTTTTGAAAGCAAAGTTCGCTACAAATTGAACAAAAACCTCGTGCATTTTTTCCTTCAGTACAACCTCCAGCATTCGCAAAACAGCAGCACCTTTGTTATACGTTATATCGTTAAAATTTTTCCTCACTTCGCTTGGAATTTCTTGAAAGTTGACAACCGGAGTGGTAAGTTTGGTTCGTTCTAGCCAATAAAGATTCTCCATATAGATGGTGGGGAAGTATTTCGTCTGAAAGAAAAAGTTAAAAAGAAACAAAAACTTAATTCGAAAAATACAGCTTGGTTGTCTAGAATAACTTCCTCGGCTTTCAAACCCATGTAGGTGGCAATACTTTCGTGTAGCCATATGTCATCCCACCAGTCGTTGGTCACTGGAAGAATAATTGAGAAACGTGTTACTTTGTTTTTGTTTGTTACCAAGATTTCCAAACCAGAAGTGGGCCAGCTCGTGAGCAATGACAGCCTTTTTTTGATAGTCGTCGTAAACGTCGTTTTCGGGTGACAAAAGGCTGGTGTTGAAGGTCACCAAACCCCAGTTTTCTGTGGCCGAGCTGTCGAACCGATCAAAGCCAATGAAATCTAGAGACGCAAATATATATTGAGCTTGTGGTTTTAGTGACTAGATTACCAAGTTTGGGCAACATGTATGGAAACTTCGTGTAGTCAGAATAGAAACGAATAACCCGACTAGAGAACTCTAGAAGTCTGGTGTCATTGTAATTACTAGCGTTGAACGCGTATAGTCTGTAAGGAGTGTACTTGTCATCTTCATACTCGGAATAGGAGGGTTCCGTTATGGCAAAAGACACCAAATAGGGAGACATTGGTGGTGTGGTTTCAAATTTGTACACAGTGCCAGCAGACGTTTCAAAAATTTTCTGCAAAGACAAACTTGTGCAGTTGTTTTAAATACCACTGTCTTACCATTGGTTTCATGTTAGATAACGCCACGTGGGTTGGATTAGGTACTACCAAATTGACTTGAAATCGTGCCTTAAAAGCGGGCTCATCGAAGCAAGGAAAGACTCTTCGGGCATACGTTGGTTGAAAATCAGTCACTAATAAATAACTACAGCCAGAAAATGAAACAGCGCATCTACAACTTACTCACTTCAAAGTAGTACCGTTTTTGCTACACCCAACTTTGAAAAGCCCTTCCGTAGTTTTTGAAAATTTCCCTTCGTATTTAATGTAGATGATATGAGCACCAGGTGCTATCAATTTTTTCCCACCACGCACTATCTTTATGAGTTCAGACTCTGCAAATTCGTATCCATAGCCGTCCGAAGGAAGACTGCAGTGACAGTTATTGAATATTTTTTTCGAGTCAAAGAAGATGCTTTCTATTGTCAAATAATCACGATTTAGATGAAATTCGATAAACTCGACTGATTGTTCCGCTTTTATGTGTATGAACACTTCACCAGTGAAGACTTCAGCCTTTAGATCTGGATGGATCTTGATGGAGTAGAATGTTGGTTTCACGTTACCAGAAAGACGGTACTTGGGGTGTGAACAAATCGGTGATGATTTAACCACAACGCAGCAAACTATTAAAACCAAAATAGCGAAAACACGAGTCATTGCTAAAGTTTGAAAACTACACAGACGACACTGATAACTTTGTAACTTTTGCGTTCTTCAAAATAATGATTATCATCACCTTTGTGTGCTAATGATTATCAGAATTTAATTGTATTTGCGATACAAGGCTGAATCAAACTAACGATATGAGTGTAACATATCCTTGACTTCAGTATGCAAATATTAGAAATACATGCGGGTATTTTCGGAAACCCAGGCTGAAAAGCTATTAATGACTGAGCATCATAAAGTAAACAGTTTAGCAGAAAGTAAACATCTAGATTGGAGGATTGTGGCTGAGATAAATTTTCCTCCACAGCTACGACGATCTAGACTTAAATAAATAGGAACTAGGTCCGTAAATAAAGCTTCCGTATTGGTCGCTTCGTGCGCATATGCGCGCGCTTTTTCAAAAAGCAACCACTTAAATAAATTTATTTTTCGTTTTTTGTTTTCATTGTTGGTGTGAACGTAGCACTCTGAACAATTTTTGGCGCGGACCGACTTCTCTTCCTACTTCCAGTCAAGTCAGCAACAGAACTCCGCGACTGAACTTCGGAAACTTGGAAAACTTCCAGCTTGGATTCGTTTACAACGGGTAATTGGAGCTTTCTCTCTGAAAGTTTCAGGGTGACCTCCTTTTCATTTAAAATCGTCACCGTCGGCAGACTACCTTGTTTCTCTCTTTCGAAGATTTTTATTATTTTACAGTCCTCGCTCCTGTGGGGTGACCTCAACTTTTTCGCCCTTTTTTCTTTCGCGGTTTGTTGAATTCGAGCGTTCGTTTCGCTTTTGGTTTGGAGTATTTTGTCGCGTCTGAGTTTCAAGTTAACTTGGTCGAGTTGCATTTGCAAGTAGAGGTTTTCGTAAACAAGAGAGCTGTTTTGATTTACGAGCTGCAATTTAACTGGAATTAGAATTAGTAGTAAAGCGAAAAGTCGGACTGACTTGTAAATACTTTTTATTGCTTGGGGAAAGAGGGGCGTCGAACTTTTGATTAAGAATCTCTTTGAACTCGGATGTTAGAGTATCGATTTTGTATCTGAAGTCTTCGACGACCTGTTGGAACACCCTAATTAATCTATATCTACAAATCTATCTCTTGTTTTCTATACCCTTTTGTGCTCCTCTTCGGTCTGATCCAGTGTTTTGACCAACAAGTTTTTCGTTTCTTTCATTCTTAAAAACTTGACGCTTAAGTTATAGTTGGTTTGGAGGGTGTGCTCTAATGTTTTTTTTAGTTTCGAAACCTCTTCCCCGTCATTCCGTGTGCTGATGTTTGAATTACTCAAAACTTTTTTTAACTTCTTGTACTCGTTCATCTCCTGACAATACGATTCTTTTTCTTTGTAATAAAAATTTCTTTCGCTTTCCAACTGTTGCGCCAGGTTGTCGTTTGATCGTCTGACCTTTGCGAGACTCATCGATAATTTCTCCTTTTCTCTTGCTAGTTTCGCCAGTTTGATCTCTTTGTTTTCTGTGTCCAGTTTTAGAGCGTTTAGTGCGTCTTTTAAGCCATCGACTTGTGCTTTCAAAGAGTCCACTTCTTTGATCAGACTGGCGTCGGTGGTCATTTGTGTTTCGTTAGAATCGGCATTACAGGGTTTCTGACGTTGAAAGACTTTGCTGTGGAGGGGTTTAGTCAAGCAAGGATTTTGAAGAGTGGGAAGTAATATACCTGACAAGCTTTGATGGAGTCGGAAATTTCTTATTTAATATTTTTTTCATGTAATTTTCTTTGAATCTGCAGAAATTCACTCATTACAGTTAAATTTTCCCATACCGGTGACAAATGCGAAATGAAGTTTGTAAGGTTGTGTCTAGATAGTTTGTGGAAATTTAAACGCGGGAGATAATTGTGTACTTTAATTTTCTCTTTGGGGCAGTTTCCTTTTCATTGTATTTTCTACGTTTTTTCAACTCGGATGCTGATTGTCAAATCTAATTGTCAAACATGTCACTGCCTTCTTTCACACCTCTTTTTTACGTAGCAAAATTACGTCATTATTTTTATGAACAGGATGAATAATTGAATTGTAATTACTAAATCTTGTAAATACATATTTCAAGGTTATCGTCATCATAGTAAATAGTTAAGTAAAATTTATTCGTTTAGCCCCTTCCAACAAGTTGATAACGTTATCTCAAAATTTTGCCGAATAAATCCTATCCAAAATATGCAAAATATGGTGACTCTATACTTGCGATTTATCACTGTATTAAAAGTTTTTCAATTTCTTATACAGGGCGACTCATAAAAATTAATGAATGAGTCAATTTATTTTATTGATTAAATCGGGAACGGCTCACTCCGTTTTCCCGAAAATTGACGTTTCATGACCCCTAGAATACGGAAACATTGTTTCCGTAGTTTGTGTCAATTTTTGTATGTATATTAGGAATATCGTGTAGACTCTAAACAAAATTTGTCTGATAAAAATCGATGACGCTGTCTTACGATTTTGCCGAATAATGTAAAATATGCACAATGTTAATTCTAGAAATTGCAGAAATGCTAAAATTCTGACCGAATTTGTGGAAAGATTCCAAATGTTTTGAAAGTCCCAAATATTCTAACCCTATCCAAGGTTTTAAGGTTTTCAAGGATGCCAAAAGCTGTAAGGACTACAAAGATTTCAGAAATTTCAAAAAATTAAAAAAAGGTAAAAAGGTAGAGAAGCCGACAATTTAAAAATTCCACAGGGATTTCAGAGATTTCAAAATTTTGATTCCACAGATTCCAAATGACACTTAATTTTAGGCTTTATAAATAAAACTTCTACTGCTAGTAATTCCCAAAGTATTCAAAATTTCCATAGATTGGAAAGACTCTAAAGAGTGTAAAGACTAAATACTCCAAAGAATAAAGATTTTAAAGGCTCTGAAAGGTCTAAAGACTCTTAAGACTCAAAGGGGTTAAACCTAAAATTCTGTTTCAAATACTTGAAAGATTCTAAAGGTTCTAAAGAAATTCCAAAAAGCCAAAGATTCTATAACTGGTAAAAATCGCGTAAACGTCAAAGGTTTTAAAAATTCCAAAGATTTTAAAGAAAACAAAAATCTAAAGACCTAAAAATTGTAAAGATCGGAAAAATGTTTTCTTTAGGTTTTATAAATTAAAAATTCCAAAAATTCCAAAGATTTAGCCTCTAGAAATCTTGAAAATATTGGAAAAGGTTGAATATTAAAATTCTGGTATAACTGAAGCTTACTAATTTTAGAAATTTTGGAAAATGTGGAAATTCTGGCCATTCTGTGTACTTCGGAAAATCTAAAAAACTGGGCTAATCTGGAAAATCTCAACATTCTGGAAATTTGAAAATTTTGTAAATTACGAAAATTCCCAAAAATTAAAAGAAAATAAAAAAATATTGAATCCCAAAATTTCAAAAGTTTACATTATCTTAAGATTGTGGATATTTTCTAAAAATTTCAAAAATTCTGAAGACTCGATACATTCTAAAAATCTTAAAGTTTTCATACACTAAAATCTGCGAATTGTAAAGACACCAAAGCTGTTAAATAAACTAAAGTTTCAGGTTTTAAATAGAAGAAAGACCCAACAAAATCTTATAAATTGTAAAGATCTTGGAAGTATTAATGTTCCTAGAAATTATAAAAATTCTAAACTTTATAAAATTTGAACTAATTCTGAAGTATCCAAAATTTCCAAAAATTGTTAAGACTGTAAGGAGTCTGAAAACTCTAAAGATTCTAAATAGTCTAAGAACTCGAAGGTTAAAAAGGTTTTTAAAATTTTGTTTCAAATATTTCAAAGATTTTATAATTTGTAACAGACGCAAGAACTCTTAACATGACAAAAATTTTAAAGATTCCAAAGACTCTAATAAACAAAACGAAAACCTAAAAATCTAAAAATCGTAAAAATCTGAATTCCTTTAATTTTTATAAATTCTACAAGTAGTAGGGGTCTTGAACACCCTAATTGTTATCTTATACACCTCAGAGATTCTAAAGAATCCAGAGATTCCAAAAATTTCAAGGATTTAAAGACTCCTGGGGTTCATTAGATTTAGAAAACCTGGGAGACTTAGAAATCTTTATTCAAAGACTGATATTTTAGCACACTTAGATTTCAAAAATTTACTCAATTATAGAAATTCTAAACATTGTACTGAATTTGTGAAAATAGTCCAAATACTCTGAAAGTTCAAAGTCTTCTCTAAATTTCAAAGATTCTTCTTATGAAAAGACGACTGCGTATATTAAGAAAAACCGAGGTAAAATATAAGCCCCGCCCACCCACCCTGTCTCCATTGTGATGAATTTTTTCTATTCGTCCTGCGTCAGGGCGCGGACCATCATTGCAAAATCCTTATTTCTCTACATGTGAAACAAGTATTTAAGTCATTGCATGGTTCAAAAAAAACTAAGTGTATTATGTAAAAAAGAAAGCCAAGGATTAAGTCCTACTTATATCCGCACCGATCTCAGTTGTGATAAAATTTTTCGTAAGAAGGAAAAATAAGGATTTTGCAATTAAGGTCCGTGCCCTGACGCACGGCGAATATAAAAAATTCATCACAATTGAGACAGGGTGGGTGGGCGGGGCTTTTATTTTGCCTCTGTTTTTCTTAATAAAAGCAGTCCTCTTTTCATAAGAAGAAAGTTAAGCACTTAAGTCATTGCGTGGTTCAAAGAAAACCATAGGTATTATGTAAAAAAGAAAGACAGAGATTAAGTCCTACATATATCCGCACCGATCTCAGTTGTGATAAATTTCTCATTCGTTGTCAGACCGAGGGGCGGAGCATAATTGCAAAATCCATGTTTCCTTACAAAAATTTACCATTTTTAACATGTTTTAAGTTTTTTCTTATGAAAAAAGGACTGCGTAGATTCAGCAAAACAGAGACAAAATATAAGGTCCGCCCACCCACCCTGTCTCAATTGTGATGAATGTTTTCTATTCGTCGTGCGTCAATGCGCCGACCTTCATTGCAAAATCCTTATTTCTCTACATGTGAAACAAGTACTTAAGTCATTGTGTGATTCAAAGAAGACTATATATAATGTATTATATAAAAAAGAAAGCCAAAATCGGTACCGATCTCAGTTGTGATAAAATTTTCATTCGTTGTCAGATTGAGGGGCGGAGCATAATTGCAAAATCCATATTTCCTTAAAATTTACCATTTTAAACATGTTTTAAATGTAAATTAAAATCTGGATAATGAAATGTTTAATTACCAATACACTATTACAGTGTGAAAGTTTGTGAACTTAATTAAAACTTTAACCCTTCTTTAAGGGAATAACGGTTAAATTAAGTTAGGTGGATGATTTTTTCTTGCAATTAGTCTTCATTGGTTTCATAAAAGTTGCCAACTTTAAACTTCTCTTTAAAAACGTTAAATATATTCTTAAACAAGTCCAAATTCTTACTTACAATTTTCAGATTGTATTCATTACATAACAGGGAGCAAGAAAAGGTTATTTTTCTGTTAAGTTTTATGTTTTTTCTTGTATATTTAGAAAATTAAAGTTCAGGGTTCTTCTCAAGATATTAAAAAACAATTTAATAAATAAAGGATTTTATTCTATGAAGGAATTTTGTGAAAATAATTTTAATGGAGTTGCATCTTTTAATAATGAAAATACGTAACAAGAGTAAACATTTTGTTGTTTGTTTGTTAGACTCTATGTCTAATTGAAATAATGTAATTAACCCTTCTGTATTTACAGCACAAATAAACACTATTATTATTATTATTATTATCAACTTACCCTTCTAAGTAAAGTCCCTAGATAACCAAAGTACCGCAATTGAATGTTTCAATGTGTTAGAGAGAGAACGTGTATTTCGGACACAATATGGCGACCGACAAACGTCAATGTTAATTGTCAAACGCCGTTTGTGTTTTTTGCAAAGTTGTTTGTGTTTTTTGTAAAGTTGTTTGTGTTTTTTTGTGGTGTTTTATGACTTTTATTTTAAAATGCCAAGTTGTTGTGTTCCTTTGTGTGGAAATAAAAGCCCATTGTTTCGTCTTCCATCAGGTAGGTTACAACTGAGTTTTCAATTGAGTTTTCTCAACTAATTTAAATTGTTGCAGGTGTTAGTAATAGGGCTAGACTAGAAGAGAGATGTGGGAGAATTTAATAGGCCGGGACGATTTGAACGACAACTCCAGAGTTTGCGAAGTAATTTGTTTAAAGCTTGAATATGTAATTGCACAATGTTAAATACTATTTACTTTTAGTTACATTTTTCTGAACAACAATTTGAAGCAAAGCGAGCAGATGGAAGGAAACTATTGTGGCCGAAATTTTGTTAATAAACTGATATTGCAAGGTTTCTCATCTATATTTTTTACTCACGCCTTATGTTTATCAATGGCATTTAAGTGCATTGAACAAATAACGCTTAAACATAAATAAATGTTTATTTGAAAAAAATCTACATTTACGCTTTATACGCAAGTATCGAGTCCGTTAATTTTTATTTATTTATTTTGAATATGGCGCGGACACAATATGGCGTCCAATTGCGGTACTTTATCTATCTAGTGACTTTACTTCTAAATGAATGGTAGTGCCATCTAGTGGTTATAACTTCTTTGATAATAATTAGTTGTTTTGTAGTTTCATACGTATCAATGAAATAGAAAAAAAAAAGAAAACCTGAATTACTGACAGCTTAATTTGTAAATTTGTCTGTCTCTAGGAAAATTGCTAGACATACAATTACCGAAACTAATAAACAAAAAAACAAATGTCTCCTTTTTTTCCAAAAATCTCACAATCTAAAAATTTTACGACAAGTTGCAAAGTTGGCAGAAGTGAAACCAATCATTGTATTCACAGTCGCGTATTTTTAAACCCATCTAGTAGGTGCCGCTTGGGTAGATGTGGAAATTTTACAGAAAAACACTTTGTCCTACCAAGGGGATCTCTAGAACAGGAGCAATACCAGAAGAAGGTCGAAAAAATACTCCTTATAGATATTTATGTGATTTTCAATTTGAAATTCGCGCCGTTTCTGGAACTCTCCTCAAACATTAATCCAACTCAAAGTCCGTCCCTACGCTTCTGTAGTGTACCACAAACTCCTGATAACGTAATCGAGTAATTACATATTTTACAAAAACATTATCGTTTGCTTGACCTACGATAAACTCTTGTCAAAATAAATTAGATGGTGCCTCCACATTGGTACATTGGCATCCCTGCCCAATGACAGCCGCTCATTAGTTTGACGTTTGACGTTAACAATAATAAAAGAAAGTGGGCTGTCCTGAACGATGACTCAAATTTAAGCGTTCACAATCCCGACGAGCACTAAAGTGTTATGACTTGTTAGACCGAAGAAAGCGCGTAAAATGGTGGGTAAAATAGAACCGGAAGAATGCCTGCGAGATTCGCCGAAATTCAGGTTTGTGTGCGACAATTACGACAAATCCAAAATTCACGAACAAACGTCTTCCAGGAGCCTGCTCGAGGAAGAAGAGGCAAGCGTCGACCAATTGGAACAAAAATTAGACAAGATCTTGAAAGTGTGTGGGACTATGGTCGATTCAGGCAAAACATATGTTGCCCAACAAAGGTTTGCTTAATTAACTTTAATTACGCCAATTATTTTAGTTTATGTAAGTTCATTTGATACTGGAAGAATGTTTACGGAGTGCTAGTAACGTTTTAAGTGTTTTAGCAGTGAATCATTGTTTGCTGATTACTGCCATGTTATTAACGCTGACTTTTTCCACAGTTTATTCGCGAACAGTTTATGGGACTTGAGCACGCACTTTCGTGAAGACTCCACCGTTTTGTCTTCCTTAAACAAACTCATTCATAGTCTGCAAGAAATGAACAAATTCCATACCATATTGTTAGATCAAGCGTCACGAACAATTCTCAAGAATCTCACTTCTTTTATAAAAAAGTACGACGTTTTAAGAAATTGATAAAAGACAAAAGTTAACTTTGTTATTTCAGTGACATTAAAAGTGTTCGGGACTATAAGCATCACTTTGAGAAAATTTCTTCAGAGTTTGATAACGTTTTAGTGCGAAATTCGCAAACGCCTCGTAGTAAACAGCAAGAAGTTGAGGAAATGCAGAACGTTTTGTTAGCAGTGAGGTCGTGCTTCGGCCACCAAGCCCTCGATTACGTCAACAGTATTAGTATGTTGCAGACGAAGAAACGCCATGAAATTTTAAGCACAGTATGACCACAATTTAATTTAATTAATTTAGTTTATTGTGTAATTGCGTGTTGCAGTTGTTGTCATATATGCACGCATGCACGGCTTATTACCACCAAGGCTCGGACTTGTGCGCTGATCTGGAGCCGTTTTTCAAAACACTAGCTGATGAGGTGACTACTCATTTAACGCCTTTACCATATTATTTTTTCTTATAATTAGATCGGCGACATGCGCGAGGAAACAATTGTCGTTGAAAAAGAACTAGAAAATAGACACGCTTCCGTGAATAATTTTGAAGTTGTCACTCCAAAAGTAGGCAAGAATTCGCCAATCATGGAAGGCTATTTGTTTAAAAGGACTTCCAATGCTTTTAAAACGTGGAACCGCCGATGGTTTTATCTATATGACAATAAATTAGTTTATAGGAAGCGTTCTGGAGAAGAGGGAGAGACTGTGATGGAGGATGACTTGCGATTGTGCACCGTTAAGCCCGTTTTGGATGGGGAGAGGAGGTTTTGCTTTGAAGTCTTATCTCCCTCAAAGTAATTTCTTCCGTTGTGTAATTCCTCACGTCCGATTTGGTTGCTATTTTAGGAGTCACATGCTTCAAGCCGACTCGAAAGAGATGTTCGAAGCTTGGATCGCCGCTTTGCAGAAGGGCATCGGAGCGGCGCTGCAAAGAGTACACAGCATAGAGATTACAGATAATGCAAGCGGGAGATTGAATAATTTGAACGATGAGCAAAGCGGGAACGGGTCAATTGCCAATTTCAATAATAATAAAATTAAGAAGATTAGGTGAGTATTTTTGGACTTAACTTTCTCAAAAAACGGTACACTTTTTGTCTCCCTTCACTTATTTTACATGTACGAAATTCCGTTCGAGATAAATGAGCGTCATTTTCTGGATGAGTGGAAAGAGAAAGATTTATTTTGTGTTAGTTTCTAAGGTGTTTTGCGTCAGTATTGGAATTGTAAAAATTCGAATGTACGGCAATAAGTTGACGTGAAATATCGCTTAAGTTTCAAAGTTAATGGAAGTATTGAAAAAGCAAATCAAAATTAATTACGCTAGACCGATAAGCGAATTGAAAAGTGGGACGGAATTTATTCCAAATTGTAGTACACGTATTCGCTTCAAACTATTTGTTTTGCAATTAGAAAGTACGATGGTTTTAGCAGAGTCGTCCAGATAAAGAAGATCGAAAATCGGTGTGAAAATCACGATGAATTAAATTGTTGGTGATGTGTGAATAAATTCTAGTTCACGTTTTACCTATAGTTATTCATAAAATACGTATAAAATCTCACAGTAATCAATCCAGTAGTTTCGGGGATTACTAGGAAAATAAAATCACAACAGATGGTACTTTTTTTAGTAGTTACGTCTTCAGCGTAAGCTAATCTCCGAAACTACTGGACCGATTGTTGTCAAATTTTATATGTGTATTAGGAGTATCGTGTAGACTGTAAATGATAAAACTCTAACCAGATACTCAGATTTTTGTAGGAGAAAACAAATTTATATCATAACATTTTCAATTTAACTTTGAAGTTGCAAAGACCGAATGCTGAGAAATCTTGCAAAAATCTTAAGGTTATTGGAAACATGATAAATAGTTGACCAACATTTGTTCGTTATCTTGTAATTTTGTGAAAGTTAAACAGAAACAGTCGAAGTTAAGCATGTACTGAGAATTTGAGAATATCTACATTTTTCCGTTGGTTATCTGCTTTAAATGTTTCATAATGTCCACACTTGTGGGGACCGCGGGGTGTTAATTACTCCATTAGTTTTTACTTTGACGAGGTTATCACAAAACGAAATATTGTTTTAAGAATTTGAAGATATTTATCTTCTCGGGGGTCTGTCTTATTTTAAGTCCGTCGGCCGACTCTATTTTTACGTTTTCTCGACCCTTCATGACTCCTAGAGTACGAAGAAATAGGTCTCCCGGCAAATGTTTTAAAGTTGTGAAGAGCCTAATGAATTTTTAGTCAAAATATATTTTCTTATCCCCTCCAAAAAATGTATGACGTCAGCTCAAAATTTTACCTTATAAATCCTAACTAAAATGTGCAAAATATGATTAGTTTTTACTTGTGATTTATCATTATATAAATAATACTTATATTCGTCGTGCGTCAAGACGTGGATATTACTTGCAAAATTCTTATTTCTCTACATGTGAAACAAGTACTTTGGTCATTGCGCGATTCCAAGAGAACTATATGTATTATGTAAAAAAGAAAGCCAAAGATTAAGTCCTACCTATATCCGCAGCGATCTTAGTTGTGATAAAATTTTTCGTAAGAAGGAAAAATAAAGATTTCGCAATTAAGGTCCGTGGCCTGACGCACGGCGAATATAAAAAATTCATCACAATTGAGACAGGGTGGGTGGGCGGGGCTTTTATTTTGCCTCTGTTTTTCTTAATAAACGCAGTCCTCTTTTCATAAGAAGAAAGTTAAGTACTTAAGTCATTGCGTGGTTCAAAGAACACTATACATATGTATTATGTAAAAAAGAAAGCCAAAGATTAAGTCCTACCTATACCCGCACCAATCTCGGTTGTAATAAATTTCTCATTCGTTGTTAGACCGAAAGGCGGAGCATAATTGCAAAATCCATGTTTCCTTACAAAAATTTATCATTTTAAACATGTTTTAAGTTTATTCTTACGAAAAAAGGACTGCGTAGATTCAGAAAAACAGAGGTAAAATATAAGCCCCGCCCACCCACCCTGTCTTAATTGTGATACATTTTTTCTATTCGTCGTGCGTCAAAACGTGGACATCACTTGCAAAATTCTTATTTCTCTACATGTGAAACAAATACTTACGTCATTGCGTGGTTCAAAGAAAATTATATGTATTGTGTAAAAAAGAAATCGAAAGATTAAGTCCTACCTATATCCGTACCGATCTTAGTTGTGATAAAATTTTTCGTAAGAAGGAAAAATAAGGATATTGCAATTAAGGTCCGTGTCCTGACGCACGGCGAATATAAAAAATTCATCACAATTGAGACAGGGTGGGTGGGCGGGGCTTTTATTTTGCCTCTGTTTTTCTTAATAAACGCAGTCCTCTTTTCATAAGACAGTTAAGTACTTAAGTCATTGCGTGGTTCAAAGAAAACTATACATAATATGTATTACGTAAAAAAGAAAGCCAAAGATTAAGTCATACCCGTACCGATCTCGGTTGTGATAAATTTCTCATTCGTTGTCAGACTGAGGGGCGGAGCATAATTGCAAAATCCATGTTTCCTTACAAAAATTTACCATTTTTAACATGTTTTAAGTTTTTTCTTATGAAAAGAGGACTGCGTAGATTCAGAAAAACAGAGGCAAAATATAAACCCCGCCCACCCACCCTATCTCAATTGTGATAAATTTTTTCTATTCGTCGTGCGTCAAGACGTGGACGTTACTTGCAAAATTCTTATTTCTCTACATGTGAAACAAATACTTACGTCATTGCGTGGTTCAAAGAAAATTATATGTATGTATTGTGTAAAAAAGAAAGCCAAAGATTAAGTCCTACCTATGTCCGCACCAACTTCAGTTGTGATAAAATTTTTCGTAAGACTGAAAAATAAGGATATTGCAATTAAGGTCCGTGCTCTGACGCACGGCGAATATAAAAAATTCATCACAATTGAGACAGGGTGGGTGGGCGGGGCTTTTATTTTGCCTCTGTTTTTCTTAATGAACGCAGTCCTCTTTCCATAAGAAGAAAGTTAACTACTTAAGTCATTGCGTGGTTCAAACAAAAATATACATATGTATTATGTAAAAAAGAAAGCCAAAGATTAAGTCCTACGTATACCCGCACCGATCTCGGTTGTGATAAATTTCTCATTCGTTGTTAGACCGAGAGGCGGAGCATAATTGCAAAATTCATGTTTCCTTACAAAAATTTACCATTTTTAACATGTTTTAAGTTTTTTTTTTATGAAAAGAGGACTGCGTAGATTCAGAAAAACAGAGGCAAAATATAAACCCCGCCCACCCACCCTGTCTCAATTGTGATCATTTTCTCCAATCGTCGTGTGTCAGGGTGCGGACCTTAATTGCAAAATCCTTATTTCTCTATATGTGAAACCAGTACTTAAGTCATTGCGTGGTTGAAAGAAAACTATATATATTACGTAAAAAAGCCAAAGATTAAGTCCTACCTATATCCGCACCGTTCTCAGTTGTGATAAAATTTTCATTCGTTATCAGACTGAGAGGCGGAGCATAATTGCAAAATCCATATTTCCTTACAAAAATTTATCATTTTAAACATGTTTTAAATTTCTTTTTATGAAAAGAGGACAGCGTATATTAAGAAAAACAGAGGCAAAATATAAGAGGATTTTTATACGACTTTTTCAAAACTGGAATTTTTCACTATGTACTCGTATTACTCCTTATGCAAATTTCAACCCATTTTCGACGATTTTCGAAATTTAACTGAATATATTTTCTTCTATATTTCGGGCCGCAGAAGTCATTTTCGGCCTCATTTCTTCCAACCATTATTCCAGAATCGCTCATTGAAATGTCGCAATTTTTAAAAATTTCAAAAAATTCAAATGTCACACCGAATTTTTCGAAAATATTGCTCCCTGACCCTAAACAGGCTATATTTTTGGAATCAGCACGTTGGTATTCGGATTGTAGAGTTTTTGTTCGGATTAAAGAGACTTCGACTTCAACTAGCCTCTGTTCGGATTACTGGATGTTCGGATAATCGTGGGTTCGGATTATAGAGATTCTACTGTATTCAGAAAAACAAAGGCAATATATAAGCCCCGCCCACCCACCCTGTCTCGATTGTGATCAATTTTTTTTATTCGTCGTGCGTCAGGACGTGGACCTTAATTGCAAAAACCTTATTTCTCCACATGTGAAACAAGTACTTCAGTCATTGTATGGTTCAAAGGAAACTATATGTATTATGTAAAAAAGAAAGCCAAAGATTAGGTCCTGCCTATATCCGCACCTATCTGAGTTGTGATAAATTTTCATTCGTTGTCAGACCGAGGGGCGGAGCATAATTGCAAACTCCATGTTTCCTTACAAAAATTTACCATTTTAAACATGTTTTAAGTTTCTTCTTATCAAAAGAGTACTGCGTATATTAAGAAAAAAAAAACAGGGAAAATATAAACCCCGCCCACCCACCCTGCCTCAATTGTGATGAATTTTTTCCATTCCTCGTGTGTCAGGGCGCGGACTTTAATTGCAAAATCCTTATTTCTCTACATGTGAAACAAGTACTTAAGTCATTGCTTGGTTCAAAGAAGACTATATATGTATTATGTAAAAAAGAAAGCCAAAGATTAAGTCCTACCTATATCTGCACAAAAAAATTAATGACTGAATCACTGTATTTTATTGATTAAATAAAGAATTGCAAAAACTGAGTACTTTGAAATATTGCACACGTTTTGAAGTTGTTGTAAGAATGGAAAATTGTTAATCAAAATATATCTGTTTATTCATCTCAAAATTTTGTGGAAAAAAATTTATTAAATCAGGAACGACGCACTCCGTTTTCCCAGAAAATTTTGGGAATACAGTTCTAAAAACTCAACTCGAAAATGCTGGATATCTTTCATTGTATTGCAGCATCTAGGGAAGTTCTGTCGAAACAACTTTCGACCAATTTTTTTAAGAAGGAAAGAAGGAAGAATGTGAAACCTTCTCGGAAGTCCTAAAGTCCTAATTTATCTTTTTTATAAAAGGTGAAACCTTCTCTGGGGTGCCAAGTGTGTGTGTGTGTGTGTGTGTTTTTTTTTTTTTTTTTGGAATATAGAACCTCTCTTTTTTTTAAGAAGGTGAAACATTCTCAAAGGCCCTAACTGTTTTTGTTAAATATAAATCTTCTCGGGGGCCTCAAGTTCTTTTTTTTAAGGATATTGTTACGTTGAACAGTGGATAAAATCGACGCGGGTTAAACTCAACAATTTATTTCTTACTAACTCGAATTTACACGACTATTAGAGCTATTATATAGAAAATAATTCCGGCGCAACTTCACTGGACTTTCTTGATTCAACTGGCTGCATAATTCGTTCCCGGAGGTGGCCTCTTTTTAAACCCATACTTCTGCGATCGAGGTCTTTCTCGATTATCCATCGCGATTTCGGCTTCCAGGCTTTTCGAACGCCGCGTCGAGACCGCCGCACGGCCGTCCTGACTGATGATGACTCATCCATCATCTCCGCACATTCTGGAGAACCCATAGGCGTCGTACCGGGGCGGCGTATGGGTTTATTTTGTAACAATATAAAAACTGTCTTTTTTTTTAAGAATATAAAACCCTCTCGGGGCCCCAACTGTTTTTTTTTAAGAAGGTGAAACCTTCTCAAGGGCCCTGGTTTTTTTTCTGTGAAACCTCGGAGGTCTCAACTGTCTGTTTTTTAAGAAGAAAGATTGTGAAACCTTCTCGAGGGCCCCAACATTTTTTTTTTTTAAGATGAAACATTCTCAAAGGTCCTGTTTTTTTTTGTGAAACCTCGGCTGTCTCAACTGTCTGTTTTTTAAGAAGAAAGATTGTGAAACCTTCTCGAAGGCCCCAACTGTTTTTTTTTTTTGTGAAACGTCGGGAGTCTCAACTGTCTTTTTTTTAAGAGGGAAGATTGTGAAACCTTCTCGGGGGTCCTAATTGTCTTTTTTTTTTTAAGAATATAAAACCTTCTTGGGGGCCCAACAATCTTTTTTTTTAAGAATATAAAACCTTCTTGGGGGCCCAACTGTCTTTTTTTTAAGAAGGTGAAACCTTTTATTCTCTTACACTGTGACTAGTAATTTCTGTACTGTTGTAAAATTTCAAAGAAACAGGATTTGTAAGGCGGCACTTCAGCAGCGAGGGAAGTTCTGTCGAAATAACTTTCGACCAGTTTTTATGAAATGTCGTAAAAACGTGAAAAAAGGACGTAGAAGTTATTTAGAAATAGCATTGCAAAAATAATTTTTTCCTTATTTTTCTTTAGCTGAGAATTGTATATTTTTAAAATGTAACTATTTATTTTATATTATGTAATTAATTTTTTGGACAGGACGAAGAGGTGAATTAATAATTCATTTCTACAGATTTATCACATTCGTGATAACCTTAAAACGTGTGCAAAATCTCAGAGCCTCTTCATAATTTCTAAGTTAAATTGTAAGCTTTATTGTGTAATTTTCAACTGTATTGACATATTTTGGGGGGAATCACCACACAAATTTTCTAAAATTTCCACTAGTTTCGGAAATTTTCTGCCCAGTTAAATCGCTAGCAGACGATATACAGATCGAAACGAGAGACCTACTTTTTTAAATTTTATGAAACGTTGAGACATGAAATTGGCCATTTGTTAAATGAAAGTATTACTTATGCTCGAGAAGTAAAACCAAAAATGTGTAATTGCCTACATTTTATTGCTTCCACAAAATGATTATTCAAACGATTTTATTACAGGCTATAACACACTTAATAGTTTAGTAATAAAGTCTCGGTTTAATGAGAATAAAAATAGATTAAGTAAGACGTTACATTATTTATTTTTATAGAATGTGGGAACAATTGTTGAAAATTCCCGGGAACAACTACTGCTGTGACTGTGGCAGCCTCAACCCTCACTGGGCCAGCATAAACTTAGGCATCACATTGTGCATAGGTACGACCCGCACCACTTCAATCCTTTTTTTTCAATATAGTTTTTAGAATGTTCGGGGGTCCACCGGAGCTTAGGGGTTCACTACAGCAAAGTACGTTCTCTAACTTTAGACGACTGGGAGCCCGAAATAATCAAAGTTATGGTAGAAATGGGTAACAACATAGTTAACAAAATCTACGAAGCCCAAGTGCCTGATGACTTCGTCAGAGCGTCACCCGACTGTCCAGGGTAAGCAACAACAATTACGTTAGTACACTCTAAAAACCCAAATCCCGTTCAGTACCATCCGAGAATCCTGGATAAAAGCGAAATACGTCGACAAAAAATTCGTCAAGAATCTCCCTCACTTCGACTCGCAACAGCGTACCTCCAGAGCCAGTCTGATGGAAATCCGCAAATGGAGCGTGCGCAAAATCCGGCGGCGACCCCGCAGTTGCGACAACTCGAAAAAGCGAAACAAAACCGTGTTCAAGTCGGACGAGAACGTGTCAAGGAAGTCGGACCGGATTTCGGAAACTAGCGAAAGCAGCGACATGTCGGCGGAAACGAGCACTCCGAAGAAGAAACGCTCGAGTATATTGTTGTTCGGCGATTTGGACAAGCAACCGCTAGATGGCACGATCGACTTGAGCAGCGACCAGGAGTCTACAGGGGGAGAAGGCGAAGATACGGTCGAGGAGGAGGACATCGACAAACTGCACCCGAATTTGTTGTTGTACAAAGCAGCCGCGGCGCACAATTTACCCGTTATGTGCGAGGCGCTGGCACTGGGGGCGGACAAGCAGTGGATCAATCTGGAGGACAGGGGGAGGAGTCCGATACATCAAGCCATCTTGAGCGTAAGAGCGCAAAATATTTTGTAAGTGTTGTGTGTAACATAGGGGTATTCATTTTGTAGGGTTCTGTGATGCCTTGCGCTTATCTTATTCTAAACGGGGCCAAAATAAACGCACAAGACCAAAATGGCAAAACGCCACTACATCTAGCAACACAAGAAGGTCACACTGCCCAAGTTTGTTTATTACTCAAACATAGAGCCGATCAACATTTAGAGGACGATGAAGGGAAAGTTCCTTTACAGATGGCGGAACAAAAGGAACACGCCGACATCGTCACACTGTAAGCGAAAATTTTCTTTGAAAGAAGCAAAATCTAGAAAACCAAAAAAAATCTGAAAATTTAATAAAAGTTTTGAATAAATTGGCGTCGTTTTGGGTAGGGTTTGTGTCTTTCTCTAACGTTGAATTTTATCGTTTCAAGTTAAAAGTGACAAAAAAAAAGAAATTGGCTTTCTACGTTTTGCTTTTACGCCATTTTTGAGTAGTAGTGACTTTTGGTCGTTTCAGATTGAGGTTAGGTCGGCTGAACGACGAGATGAAGGAGTCAGAGCACGGTCTGACAGGTGACAGTATGTTCAACGACGTAGTTAGGGATTTTTCGCAGTTGGCGTGTTCTCACCCAGAGCGGTTACAAAGACAAAAGACAGACAACGAATGATCAAATTTATTACGGCGATTTTTTCGCCGTAAAGTGTAGTTGGTTTAAGGTTATGTTACCTTTTTACTAGTTTTTAATATGCATTTTACAAAGATGAATGTATTCATTCCATTTTATTGTTTGCTGTTTTAATGTTATAATAGAGTAGAATATCATACTTAAAACAATTATAACAATTGCCTTGAAACGTTTATAATTGCCTTAATATGTGATATTAATGTAGCATTTTATAATGCTTTGTACTCTTCCAATGGAGCTGTAGCAACCACGATGCCAAATTTATATTGTTTTGTTACGCCGCTCAATATAACCCTTGTGTACGGGGTAGTTTAAGTCTAATTTGTGCTCATGTATTTAATGTAATTTTAAGTGGTCACGTGACAAGAGTAGCGCCCTCTGTTGGATAGTAGCGAGGTGGAGCTCATCGACTTGTTTCAGTCTAGCCATAGATGAAAGCAATGTAAGAATACTCAGCTTTGGATGTAACAATATATGAATAAAATGTACAAACCGGGCTCGAGTTTTAATAACATCAATGAAAACATGATAAAACATTTTATTGCATCAGTTTTGTTATAAAAAAACAATCGAGAATTTGGATAGTATGGGTCAAATACTGAGATAAATACATAAATAAAAATAAATACAGCACAGGTAGTAATATATGAACACTACTCTACAAATACTAAACCTATTCAGCCAATAAGATTGCGGTACCTAAACTAATTACAAATGGCGGCAATACCCGACTATTGCACAGTTGTAAGATTTTTTGGTTTAAGTAAAAACGGCACGAACCGTGCGCTACATAAGTACTAAAGTCTGAAATACTGGATACTATAGAGGCAGAATCTAAGGGTAGGCCCTTTTGGCGTTTAGTGTCACGTACTAGACTAGCCTATGGCGGTCGATCTCATGAAGTATTCTTCGAACCGTCGTCGATCTTGCAGCGGTAGACGTAAGCGGTTATGGAGATATCGTCGTCGTCACGAAGGCACTTCTTCTCTTTGCTGCATTCACACCTAACAACAAAAAAAAGTAGAATTTTTTTCACGAGTGGTAAAAAATCGTACTTATTCTTCATGAAGTAGTCGATGTAGCGAGTAATTCGATTATAAACCGCCCAACCACACGGCGTTCGTCCCTGACACACCTCCTTCGCCTCGGCTTCTGCAGATGTGTTGGCTGATGTATTGGACACAAGGGATCTCTGCAACAGGATTTGTTTGTTTATTTCGAGGCGACCAATGACACGAGACTGATAACAGGGGCCACCTCTTATACTTTTGCGATAAGAGGTTGACACTTTGCGAAAGTTATTGTGGTTAAGGAAATTACCACATTGGTCAGTGAGGTCCAAATGATTAATGAGTTTTACTTACTTAATTAAAAGTAAATAAAAATCACCCAAATAAACTTTTCTTCTATTAAAAGTGACTCTGCAAGGATATAGCACCGTAAGAGTGTTATTAAGTAATATTTTCGAAACTCTTACAGTCGTGTAATAAAAGTTAGTAACATTATAACGGCACAACTTTTATCATGTTCGAGTAAACGCTATATTTATAATATTTTGTTAGACATCTTACTTTGTATCTTTTCTGTGTTATTAAAAATCATGATTTAGCGTAATTTATGAAGATGGCAATTCTAACAATTCAGCTGATAAATTTGTGAAGAATGCATATTTTCAGAGATAATAGAGTTTAAAGATCAAGGGACGTTCAGTAAGGGAATATGCTTGAGGCTCTAGTGTCCAGAAAAACTAGTTCGCACGAAAATCAAGAAACACAATTCCTCCATGCGCACAAAATATAATTAACTTATTCCATAAAACATGATTTTCGAAATGAATGAAAATTTTTCGGTGTTATTCTTGAGTTATTTGTAGTAATTTAGCTTCAACTTCAAGCAGAAGATGACGAACTCATTTCTTAAAACAAATGCTTTTTTGTTTCAGTAGAGTGAAAACAAATTTGACGTCATTATTTTTAGAACCGCGAAATTCAAATGATTGATTTTTTAAATTCAGAAAAAATACAAAAATAAATGTTTCCAGTTTGAAAATAGAAAACATTCGGATATGTCGATAACAGTCTAAAGTAAAAGAATTGGATATAAATTCCATTTACTGGTAAAATCGAACAAATTTTCTAACTATTACAAAATTAAATTAAACGAAAGAAATATGTACAAGTAAATAAAAAACAAACTAATCCGTACAAAGAAAACATTTCAATATTTGTTTTAATCATCAACAGTCAAAAAACTGAAGGTTGAACATGTTATAAAAATTCCATACTTTTTCAAATAAAAAACTGACATTTAGTTAAACCATAAAAATGTAAAATTTAACATTATGAACCAAAATCATAGAAATCTCTTTAATTTCATTAGCAAAATGTCAAAAAATGTATCTACCATTTTTATAAATAACATAAACAAACAAGAAATTATTTATGTTCCGCTATTGAAATCCAATGGCGTACAAAGAACAGGACGTCCTGCGGAACATGCCCAATAAATCCATTGTGGCAAATTGCTCAAGAGGTACAACTAGGGTCTTGTTTTGGATACGTAAGATATATGAAAGAAATTCTTAATGCGTAAATCGAGATTTATGTTCGTCAATTCAACAACAACAATAATTAGATAAAATGTCAACAAGGGTTAAAGATAAACACATGAAGAGGACGTGTCTCTGAATGGGAGCGACACAGCGGCGCGGTTGAGGGAGGGTCACTGAATCCGACAACTTGGAAAACAATTCAAAATTAATTGAAACTGAACCAAAAATTTGATTTTCTGAATATCAAAAATATATTAGTGTATGATTCATAAACACCTTGTAAATTAAAATGTCATAATGGTTTGGAACCATAACTTCTTCGATTACTTTAAATTTTCCGAGTTCTTAAAATTGTATCGTGTAAACCAGACTTGGTCAGTAACCAATTAAGAAACGGTATTGTCAAAAAGAGTGCGCGCGCAATCAACAAAAACTAAGTCCATTTTAATTACCTATTTAATGAAAAGTATTACGTTCGTGTTTATTATTTGCAAGTGGGTTTGGGTCTGTTTAAATTTTTAGTGATCGTTTATCTACACAGATTAAAACACGAAAGTTTGTCAACAAACAACGGATGTTTTATTATTGAGATAAAATTAAGAAGACGCTCCTCAAAAAAATCACGGTTACGCCACTGGAACAAGTCATTGAGAGTCTTACACTCAATGGGAGCCCCACCTTTAACGCAAGGTCACTATTACTACTACGTCCAGGCGGGAAACGTTACGAAAGATAACATCAGAGTTTCTGGAAGATGGACGTACAAGAACAGGTAGACAGGTGCTAGTGGGGTAGAAGCTGATGCAACATTAGATTATCTTACTATAAACGCTATCAATAGCGTTCGATTAGAAACGAAAATATGTACAATCATTGATTATAAAGTGTGTCGTTATTTAAAAAATAATAATAATAATAATAATAATAAAATAAATAATTTTACCAATTTGTGGGAAAGACGTAAAATTATAAAATGATGATTGGTGGATGAAAAATAGTGAAACTATAGAATAATAAAAAAAATAATAGTAAAAACACACTATGGAAAGAATTTGAATTACAAATATTTGTTTTAGACACTTTTGAAATAAAGTGTAAAACCCGAAAATGGTGCTAAAACTCAAAACTGTCAAATGTTTACCTTGTGTAGACTGAGGGCGCTGAGGGCTTCCACACATAGGAATGCGACGACCGCCACCACGACGTATTTGAGTGCCATTTCAACTTCACTTCTGTTCAAAACTGAGTGCTAACAACTTGTGAATCTGAAGAATCTTGTCGTTGCTTTTATAAGCGTGTAAGAAGTGCGCACGCGCATTTCAAGATCGTCTAAAGACCGGAGCGACCGGAAAAGTCCCTCGGGAACTCTGCGACTTTTCCCGGATTTCTGTGAACGCACTTTCCGATTTTCCAGGCGAATTTCGTGTGGCAAAAGAGCGCCGCTTTGCGTAGGTCAGTACGGATCAACAGGTGCGCGCCGATTCAGCAACTATTTCGGAGTTTGTTAACGTTCCCTGATAAATCATAGTGTCGTTGCGCAAGGTGTTTGTCTCCACTATTTTGCGTCCGATTCGTGGAAAAGCGCGATCTCTAATCAGTGTTTTGCTGGGTTCGGCTTAGAATTTCGTTAAAAAATTGGAAAGCGCTGATAGAAAAAAAGCAAACATCGGTTGAGGCCAATAATGGGTGACACCCGACCTTGGTCTTAATCAATATAAACAAAGTGTCGCTTTAAATTTGTTTTATTGATGGTATCAGAGCACGACCACTATTAATGCAAAACTGACCAGTTCAAGTCATTTAACATTAAGCGAATGGTCATTGACGAATTTTTATCGTTATTGGCTCAATTTTTATCAGTGCTTTGCGTAAATTGAAAACATTGCAACAAAAAGTCCAACACGAAAATATAATAATTTACAGCTGGCGGTACGATCAATCGGTCACGAAAGCTGCTGCTGCTGCCGGCGAATCGTTTTAACCGGGGCTATTTACTACAATGTTGCAGAAATGAAGGGATAAAAACTCTAGACCTGTTATCGACCAATTTCCGGCACTCAATTACACCCTTTCCAATTAAAATCCTACGTGATCGTGAACATGTGGGGTTTTTGAAGAAGCACGGAGCTTTATGACGCTACGCACGATAAGAATCGAGCAAACTTTTCACAGACGATTTCTTCATTAACGTTTCATTTTAAATTAAAAACAACGATACGAAACTGAAGTATCGTGACATTTTTCATCCAATCGCAGAAAGAACAAATTGTGATTAAAATGTTGGAAGACCGCTGGTCAGTAATCCACACTTTATTAATGGCCTGAGGTGCGTTCTTCCAACACCTGTTCACGATGACATTTTTTTCATAGTTGCTTTTTTTTTCAAGTTCTCCTAGTTAATGACTCACCAAATTTTATTGGTTATGCCAATATATTTTCCCGTCTTGAGTTTTATTACTGTTAAATTTTAGAGATAATTATTCCAACTAGAATTTAAAACCACTTTTTAAGCCTTGCCTTTACAACGTTGCGCCGCCACCTGACTGTGAGAATTGAAGCCAGCTCGGAACAACTAAATGAGGCTTTAACTGGAAACGATAAATTTTTTTTGTCTGATTTATTTGCAGCTTACTTAATTTTCAACATTCCTGAAACACGTTGGACTTTTTTGAAAAATATTTGCTCTTGCGTGTGCTAGAGCAAAAATGGTGTACCGACAATTTAGTTCATGTTCTCTCTTCTGAGAAGAGAAAAGTACCACCTTTACCCAGGATTCCCAGGATAGCATGACGTAAATCTTCTTTTTGAAATTTGTGTCCTTTCTTTAGCAAGCTCATCAAATGTATATTTAAAGAAACTGGTATCTTATCGGTGCAATAATTTTAGTTTCAATCTAAATAAGTCATCTAAAGGTCTTCTGGAAATAACACTTTTGTTATATGATAGATAATCTGTCCGACTCGGGTCCTCAAGAACTTCTCCAACTGCATTCGTGAAGCATTTTCGCACCTCTTTGCCTAGTAACAAACTATCGAACATCGAATGTCGTCCCGACAACTCTCACTTAAAAACAGACCAAATAAACCCCTATCGATCGTTCGATAAAACAAAGTCTGCTCCTCTTGTGTCCGTCTCCAAAGCGTCACATTAGTTATCATAGAAAGATAAAATATTTATCTAATGTATTTCTTAATACAAAAGAATTTTTGCCTAAAAGTTTCAACATCGAATTGATTTTAATAAGCTAATTTTGACAATTGTTTTAATTCATGGCAAAAATTAGACAAACATTTCTCAGATTTTATTCAGCAAAATTATAAAATTGCGTCATCAATTTTTGGGAGGGGAACAAACGATTAAATTTTGAACTAACGATTTATCATACTTCCCATAACATTAAAATTTCTGCAAGATTTCACTACATACATATATTATTATTGTTATTATTATTATTATGTTATTTTATAAAATGTATGTAACATTTATTCTAAGATGACGTCATCAGTTTTGATTTATCAGGCTTACGATAACCTAAAACTAGTGCAACATTTCACAGCAAAGTTAAATTGGAAAATGTATTTAGTTGTACAATTCTGATTTTTTTTCCGAAAAATCTGGACGTCTAAGATAAAAAGTCACACGGATTCATAAACCACAAGTGCAATAATCGTAGTAGTTTCGTAAATTATCTGTCTGATAAAAATTGACACAAACGATAGACAGACAGACAGAAATAGGACTACATAGAAATCGGGAAGCCTGGAAGACCAGAGCGCTCGTGGCCGAATCCAAATTTTATATACTTTTAAATGAAGTAAACTTTCGGTTTTTAGTCGCCGGTTTAAATTTTTTTCCAACTACTTCAAAAATAAAACACCCGAAATAATCGAGATTCTTTAAATACTTCAAAAATAAAACAAAAGGACTCCCCGAGATTTTTTCAAACAGCTCCAGAAATCAGACCCATCGGGTTGTCGAGATTCTTTCAAAATATGTCAAAAACAAGACAAGGAATCGTAAGATCTTTTAAAACTATTTCAAAAACAAAACAAAAGGAGTCCCTGAAATTCTTTAAAACTACTTCAAAAACAAAACAAAGGAAGTCCCCGAGATTCTTTCAAATTACTTCAAAAACAAGAAAAAAGATCCCCAAGTTTCTTAAATAATACTTTAAAAACAAAATAGAAGGGGTTCTCAAGATTCTTTCAAACTTCTTCAGAAACCAAGTCCAAGGAGTTACCGAGATTCTTTCAAATTACTCGTACTTCAAAAACACAACAAAGAATCCCCACGATTTTTTCAAACTACTTCAAAAACAAAACAAAAGGTGTCCCCGTGATTCTTTTAAACTGTTTCAAAAACAAAACAAAACAAGTCCCCGAGATTCTTTCAAATTACTTCAAAAACAAGACAAAAGATCCCTAAAATTCTTTAACACTATTCAAAAACAAAACAGAAGCGATTTCTGAGATTATTTCAAACTTCTTCAGAAACCAAGTCCAAGAAGTTCCCGAGATTTTTTCAAATTACTTCAAAAATAAGACAAAGGATCCACAAGATTCATTTAAACTACTTCAAAAATAAAATAAAACAGGTCTCCGAGATTCTCTCAAATTACTTCAAAAACAAAATACAAGGAGCCCCCGAAATTTTTTTACATTACTTCAAAAACCAGACAGAAAGATTCCCTGAGATTCTTTCAAACTACTTCAAGAATCAGACACGAAAAACCTCCGAAAATCTTTGAAACCACTTCAACAACAGAACAAAAGAAGTACCGCAGATTCTTTCAAAATCAGACACAGGGATTTCCGAGATTCTTTCAAAATACTTCAAAAACCAGACGCATAAAGTCCCTGAGATTCTAAACCACTTTAACAACAAAAAAAGGGGTACACGAAATTCTTTCAAAGTACTTCAACAACAAGCCCACATGGAATCTCCGAAATTCTTTAAAATTACTTCAAAAACAAAACAAAAAGAGTCCCCGAGATTCTTTCAAACTACTTCAAAAACCAGACACATGGAGTCGCTGAGATTCTAGACCATTTTAACAAAAAAGGGGTACACGAGATTCTTTCAAAGTACTTCAAAAACAAGGCCACATGGAGTCCCCGAGATTCTTTAAAACTACTTCAAAAACAAAACAAAAGGAGTCCCCGAGATTCTTTCAAACTACATTAAAAACCAGACACATGGAGTCCCTGAGATTCTAAACCATTTTAACAAAAAAGGGGTACACGAAAGTCTTTAAAACTACTTCAAAAACAAATCAAAAGTGGTTCCCGAGATTCTTTTAAATTACTTCAAAAACAAACAAAAGGAGTTCCCGAGATTCTTTAAAACTACTTCAAAAACAAAACAAAATGGGTCCACCAAATTCTTTAAAACTACTTCATAAACAAAACAAAATTGGTTCCGAGGTTTTTAAACTACTTCAAAATAAAACAAAAGGGTCTCCGAGATTCTTTCAAATTACTTCAAAAACAAGACAAAAGATCTCCAAGAATCTTTAACACTACTTCAAAAACAAAACAGAAGGCGTTCCCGAGATTCTTTCAAACTTCCTCAGAAACCAAGTCCAAGGAGTTTCCGAGATTCTTTCAAATTACTTCAAAAACAAGACGAAGGATCCCCAACATTTTTTCAAACTACTTCAAAAATAAAACAAAAAGGTTACCCGAAATTGTTTTAAACCACTTCAAAAACAAAACAAAATTAGTCCCCGAAATTCTTTCAAACTTTTCAAAAACTAACACATGAAATCCCTGAGAATCTAAGACAATTTTAACAACAAAAAAGGAGTACGCAAGATTCTTTCAAATTACCTTAAAAACCAGACGCCTAAAGTCCCTGAGATTCTAAAACACTTTAACAACCAAAAAAAGGGGTCCCCGAGATTCTTTCAAAGTACCTCAAAAACAAGACAAGAGGTCCCCAAGATTCTTTAACAAAAACAAAACAAAAGGGGTTCCTGAAATTCTTTCAAACTACTTAAGAATTAGGCACAAGGGATCCCGAGATTCTTTCAAACTACTTCAAAAACCATACGCATGGAGTCCCTGACATTCTAAACCACTTTAACAACAGAAAAAGGGTACACGAGATTCTTCCAAAGTACTTCAAAAACAAAACAAAAGCAGTTACCAAGATTCTTTTAAACTACTTCAAAAACAAAATAAAGGGAGCCCCCGAGATTCTTTCAAACTACTTCAAAAACCAGACACATGAAGTCCCTGAGATTCTAGACCGTTTTAACAACAAAAAAGGGGTACACGAGATTCCCAAAGTACTTCAAAAACAAGGCCACATGGAGTCCCCGAGATTCTTTAAAACTACTTCAAAAACAAAACAAAATGGGTTCCCGAGATTCTTTTAAACCTCTTCAAAAACGAAACAAAAAGGGTATCCGAGATTCCCTCAAACTACTTCAAAAACAAAATACAAGGGACCTCCGAGATTCTTTCAAATTACTTCAAAAACCC